CAGAGCCAAGTGGTTAGTTTCAACACTTGGGCAGAGCCGGGCAGATCTCTATGAGTTTGAGCCTAGCCTGAGCGACAAAGCAAGATCCAGGACTGTCAGGGCTACACAGAGAAACACAACAACACAAACCACACAAAATCAAGGTCTGGGGAGAGATGGTTCATGGGGTAGAGTGGCTTGCTAACAAACCCAAGGACTTAGTGTGCTATCTGGAACACAAAAAGTAGAAGGAGAGAACAGATTCCTGCAAATTTTGACTTACGTATGTGCTGTTGGATACATGAACTATTCCCAAAGATAACTGTAAAAAAAATGAATAAACAAACAAAAACCATGATCAAAACCCCCAAACAACAACAAAAGGCCAAGCAGAAACAAAAACTGGGGTGACTTAATTCTTTTTTTCTGGTGTTGAACGAATATCAAGACCCTCAAGCTCAGCCAGGTGTGGTATAGCCTAGTGTTAGACCATTGTACAGCACTTTATTTGCTCTTTCTTTCTTTCTTTCTTTCTTTCTTTCCTTCCTTCCTTCCTTTCTTTTTCTTTCTTTTTTTTTTTTTTTTTTAGTATTTATTTATTATGTATACAGTGTTCTGTCTGCATGTATGCCTGCAGGCCAGAAGAGGGTGCCAGATCTCATTACAGGTGGTGGTGAGGAACCATGTTGTTGCTGGAAATTGAACTCAGGAACTCTGGAAGAGCAAGCAGTTCAGTGCTCTTAACTGCTGAGAGTCATCTCTCCAGCCTCCTCCTCCTCCTCCTCCTTCTCCTCCTCCTCCTCCTCCTCCTCTTCCTCCTCCTCCTCCTCCTCCTTTCTCCCTCTCCACCTCTTCTTCTTCTTCTCTTTTTTTAATTTTGAGGCAAGGTCCAGCTGTTGTGGAACTCACTATATAGACCAGGCTGGCCTTGAACTCACAGTGCCTTGAATTCTCGAGTGCTGAGATTAAAGGTGTGAGCCACCACTGCCCAGCTAAAATATTATTTATTTTATGTATATGGTGCTCTATCTGGAGGTCTACCTGCATGCCAGAAGTGGGCATCAAATCCCATTATAGATGACTGTAAGTCACCATGTAATTGCTGGGAATTGAACTCATGACCTCTGGAAGAGCTGCCAATGCTCTTAACCACGTAGTCATCTCTCCAGCACCCCCTCATTTTTTTTAAAGTTAACAGTTTTATTCATTATGCGTGCATGCATGTGTGGGTGCGTGCATTCATGTGTGGGTGCGTGCATGCATGTGTGGGTGCAGGCATGCATGTGTGGGTGAGGGCATGCATGTGTGGGTGAGGGCATGCATGTGTGGGTGCGTGCATGCATGTGTGGGTGCGGGCATGCATGTGTGGGTGAGGGTATGCATGTGTGGGTGCGGGCATGCATGTGTGGGTGCGGGCATGCATGTGTGGGTGCGGGCATGTATGTGTGGGTGAGGGTATGCATGTGTGGGTGCGGGCATGCATGTGTGGGTGCAGGCATGTGTGGGTGCAGGCATGCATGTGTGGGTGCGGGCATGCATATGTTGGTCAAAGGCCAGCTTGTAGGAGTTGGCTTTCTCCTTCCTCCATGTGGAACCTGTGTAGAGAACTCTCACCCGCAGGCTTGACAACAGACCCCATTACCTTATGAGTTATCTCGCTGTTCTTATGATGCTGATTTATTTAGTTTTTAATTTTTTACTTTTTTGGTTTTTCAAGACAAGGTTTCTCTATGTAACTTTGGAGCCTGTCCTGGAACTAGTTCTTGTAGACCAGTCTGGCCTCGAACTCACGGAGCTCCACCTGCCTCTGGGATTAAAGGCATGTGCCACCATCACCCGGCTGTGTTGTCATTTTTATTTTGTGAGTGTGGGTGTTTTGCATGCATAGATGTCTGTGCAACTTGTGCATGCAGTGCCCAAGAAGGTTAGAAGAAGGTGTACTATCCCCTAACACTCAAGTTACAGATGGTTGTGATAGGTCTGGACCTATAGGCCAGGCTAGTCTCAAACTCACAGAAATCTACCAGCCTCAGCTTTCAAATTGGTAACTTGAAGACATGTATTTTTGTTTTTTGTTTTTCTGAGACAGGATTTCTCTGTGTAGCCCTGGCGGTAGACCAGGGTGGTCTTGAACTCACAAAGATTGGCCTGCCTCTGCATCTTAAATGCTAGGATTAAAGGTATATATCACCATGCCTGGTTTGTAGTTTTTTTTTTAAAGATTTATTATTTTAAATTATATGAATGATATAAAATATATGAATGATATAAAATTATATTTTAAATTACATGAATGTGCTTGAGTATGTGCCCAGGAGTACAGGTGCCCAAAGAAGCATGAGGTTTAAGATCCCCTGGAGTGACAGGCCTTTTCAAGTGGCCAGGTAAGAATGCTGGAAACAGAGCCTCTGTTCTTTGGGAGAGTAGCGACCATCACTGAGCCATCCCTCCATATCTGTATTATTATTATTTTAACCATAATTTTAAAAGGATCGAGGCACTTTTAATCCCAGCACTGGAAGCATAGGCAGGGAGACTCCTGTGAGTTCGAAGCCAGCCTGGTCTACAAAGTGAGACCCTCCCTCAAAAACAAAAGACATCTCCAGAACTAGGAGAAAGGCTGTGCTTGCTTTAGGAGGGATGATCCCTGTCCCTCCCTGCCTATCCCCACCCTACCTACCAGGCACTTTCCAGCAGCTATTTGAATGCCATAACTCCCACCTGCTGCCTCAAAGATCCTTCAGCTTCTGCTCCACACAGGTCCTGAAGTCAGCCTCAGGGAGAGATTCAAAGCTCCAGGTTTTCAGCCAGTGGCTCTGGTAAGTCTGTGAGGACTTTCTTGGAAGAGTGTTCCACACAGTTTTGTTGTGGGTGGAAATGTGAGTGGCAAGGAGTTTGAGAATTGTATGATACGGGGCAGGGGAGCTTTTATTGTATATGAGTATGTATAAATGTGGGCACGTGAGTCCTGTGGTGTACAACCTGCAGGGCTGAGATTTGAACTCACATAGTCAGGCATGGTGACAAGTGTCTTTACTATTGATTCATCCTGCTGGTGTCCATATGGGGCTTTTTGTGTTTTCTTTTCTTTCTTTCTTTTTCTTTTTTTTGAAACAGGGTCTCACTATGTAGCTTTGTCTGGCCTGGAACTCTCCTTGTAAACCAGGCTGCCTTGCTAGCAGCAGGTCAACCTGGCCTCCAACTTGTGGCGATCTTCCTGTTGGCATCCCAGTATGCACTACATGCTCCCCCCACCCCCCATTTATTTTTGGCTTTTGTCGGCAGTTTTTGGCTTTATTTCATCCCCCCCCCGGGGGGGGGGGCAAAACTGGAGATTCTCTTTCTTAAGGTGAGTTACAGAACGTCTGACCCAAGTTTGGGAGGAAGGAATGTTGACTGAGAGGCACTAAGGAATCCAAACAAACAAGCCTTTCTGGTTATGCTTGCAGCTCTCAGCTTTTCTCCCCTAGGATCCAGGAGCACAGGGTTAAAAGGGCTTTTGAAAGCAGTGTCTTGGAGGCAGGCAGGGAGGTAAAGAGATACTTAACCAGGTACTGGGGGAATGGATCTCGGGAAGTTCGAGGCCAGCCTGGTCTACAAGAGCTAGTTCCAGGACAGGCACCAAAGCTACAGAGAAACCCTGTCTCAAGAAAAACCAACCAACCAACCAACCAAACAAACAAACAAAAAAACCCACAACAGCTGTAATTTAGCCAGGGGTGGTGGCACATGCCTTTATTCCCAGCGGATCTTTGAGTTTGAGGCCAGTCTGCTCTACAGAGAGTTCCAGGACAGCAAGAGGTAAACAGACTTGATCTCAACAGGCTGGGATTGCTTTACTGGGACAGTGAGGGGCCTCAACCTTTCAGGATGATTTTGAGTGCATTTAGAGGGAGTGGGAGACAGGTACATACACAACTACCAGAAAGTTAACAGCTATTTTATTTATTTATTTATTTATTTGTTTGTTTGTTTGTTTATTTATTTATTTATTTGAGACAGGATTTCTCTGTATAATACCTTTGGCTGTCCAGGAACTCACTTTGTAGATCAGGTTGACCTTGAACTCAGTTCTGCCTGCCTCTGCCTTTCAAGTCCTGAGATTAGGGCAGTATGCCTGGCTAAATTATAGTTATTTTTTGTGGTTTGACTCGAAAGCAGGGTGGGTTGATTTTGAAGAAGAGTGTTGGTGGAATTTTAATTTATGTTTGAAGACACATGGCTTTGTTGGGCCCTAAAGCCCCACCAAGGAGGAGGTCGCCCCAAGAGACACCCACAACACGATTGATGCAATAGCAAGAGGAATTTTTATTCTGCCGAGGCAGAGGTCCCCCAGCCTTGAGAGGAGAAGGACCCCTGCTTTGTCTATTACAAGCTCTTTTAAAGGAAAAAACCACAAAATCAGGGAGGGGTAGAACAAAATCAAAGGGAAAGCCCCAAAATCATTTGTCTACTATTTTGACTAGTTCATTCAACAGTCAGCTAACTCTACTTAATCAATGTTGTAACAGTTACAAGGAGGAACCTTGATCAATGTTATGGTTACAAGGAGGAACCTTGATCAATGTTATGGTTACAAGGAGGAACCTTGATCAATGTTATGGCGTTTACAAGGTCGTCTCACCCCAGTTCTAGGGTCCGGGTCTATAGAAAAAAGACTACAATGGGGATGGAAAGTACTCAAAGCTCTCGTGCACGCGTGGTTGGTTACCAGGGTCCTGGTTCCCAGGAAGGGGGAGTGCAGTAGTGCTAAGGTGCCTCTAAGTCTTTCAGCTTCAAGAAAAGTGTTTCTCTTTATTGCTATTATTACTTGTTTTGTTTTTCTTTAGACAGGATCTCACTAGGTAGTTCTGGCTTTTCTGGACCTCACTAGGTAGACCTCTGTGGTTTTGAACTGCCAGAAATCCACCTGCCTCTGCATCAAAGTGCTGGGATTAATGGCGTGGGCCACCACACCCTGTCTGGTGATCATTCTTGATGTCTCTTCTTGTTTTCCAGAAGTTTGGATCCAGGCGCCTAGGATGTTTTGGCAGAATGTTCATCACTTTGGTCAGAAGTTGGTACGCCGGCGGCCCTTGGCCGCAAACGAACTGTCTGATTCTCCCTTGTCACGATGTCTGACCACTTTGGACCTTCTGTTCTTGGGGGTGGGCAGCACCCTGGGAGCAGGCGTGTATGTCCTGGCTGGGGAAGTAGCCAGAGAGAAAGCTGGACCATCCATCATTCTTTGCTTCTTAGTGGCTGCTGTATCTTCAATGCTGTCTGGACTCTGTTATGCTGAGTTTGGGGCCAGGGTGCCGTGTTCAGGTTCAGCGTATCTCTACAGCTATGTCACAGTGGGCCAGCTGTTGGCGTTTGTCACTGGCTGGAATCTCATACTCTCCTACATCATTGGTGAGTAGGGTAGGGCCTTAGAATGGGCGTGGGGATGAGGTGGAGTGGGGTGGGCAAAGCTGGGACTTGGGTAGTGTAAGACCCAAGATGCCATTCTCTCCTTTTGTTGCCCTCTTAAAGATTAACCCGGAAGAAATGAGGTTTGTAGAGTGACTGGCTAGGTTTCCTTTTGTTCGAGACAGTCTCACTGTGGAGACCAGGCTGTCCTGAAATTTGTGCAGATACTCACTCTCCTAGCCTTGCCTCCCCAGCGCTAGGATTGCAGGTGTGAGACCCACCGAGCCTTATGGGAGTTCTGGTTTCATTTTGTTATTTTCAAGACAGGATTTTTCTGTGTAACAGTTCCTGACTTTCCTGGAACTCACTTTGAAGACCAGGCTGGCCTCGAACTCACTGAGATTCACCTGCCTCTGTCTCCCAAGTTCTGGGATTAAAGGTGTGTAGCTCCACACCTGGACTTTTTTTTTTTTTTTTTTTTTTTTGGTCAAGATTTTATGTAGGTAGGCCAGGTTGGCTTTGAACTGAAGATGAATTCTGATCCTCCAGAATCTATTTCCTAAGAGTTGGGATCCCAGGCATTGTGTGTGTGTGTGTGTGTGTGTGTGTGTATAGTCCTGGCTGTCAGGGAACTCACTCTACAGACTAGCCTGCCTGTCTTTTCCTCCTGAATGCTGGGATTAAAGGCTAGACCACCGTTTTGTTTTTCTTGCAGTGCTGGGGCTCAAACCCAGGGCCTTGTGTATGCTAGACAAGACCTCTGCCACAGAGCTAAATGCCTATCCCAAGAAACACTGGCGATCCCACTCTGATATACAGAGATTTGCCTGCCTCTACCTTCTGAATGCTGGAATTAAAGGCATGTGCTATCATCACCTGGCTCCAACAAACTTTTTGATATTATCTTGGTGCTGGAGAGATGGTTTAAAGGAGAGATCCTGAGTTCAATTCCCAGAAACCACATGGCTCACAACCATCTGTAATGACATCTCGTGCCCTCTTCTGGCTTGCAGGTGTACATGCAGATAGAACACTGTATACATAATAAATAAATCTTAAAAAAAAAGAATGTATCTTGTGTTTTTCACCTGCCTCCCCACAGCAGTGATTGAGATTAGATATTTTTCTTCCCGTCTTTCTGTGTCCTAAGGGTTCACTTTGTGCTTGTAAATGAAGGCTCTTCTTCTCCCTGCAGGTGCAGCCAGCGTGGCCCGGGCCTGGAGCGCAGTTTTTGATGGCCTCGTAGGGAACCGGATCTCCCAAGCCCTGCAGACCAGCTTTCCTCTGCAAGTGCCCAGCTTCCTGGCCAAGTATCCAGACTTTTTTGCACTTGGACTGGTTCTAGTCCTTACTGGTGAGTAAGGATAGGCAGTAGAGGGTCTGTGGATGTGTGTGGGAGGATGGTGGCTGTCAGAAGCTGTGAAATACAAGGCACAGGAGGGCAGAGGGAGGGAGGGTCTTTCCCCATATTGGGGACTGTTTCGAGTAGGAGGCTGGGTAACAGCATGCCTAGCTTTAACCACTGGATGTATGGGGTACACCCTCCCGCTGCCCCAACCTTCTGCTGAGACCCACTGATGTAAATTGGCTTCTACTTCTGTAATTACACTTATTTATATGTGTGTGTGTGTGGAGTGCATGCATATGGAGGTCACAGGACAAACTGCAGACGCTGGTTCTCTCTATCATGTAAGGGCCTGGAGATAGAACTCAGATTGTCAGTCATCTTGGCAAGCCTTCTTACCTGATAAGCCATTTTGCAAGCCTTTCTTCTGTGTGAAGACCAAATTTAAAAAAAAAAAAACAAAAGAGCAGGGCTGGAAATATGGCTCACCAGTTAAGAGCATTGACTACCCTTCCAGAGGACTCAGGTTCAATTCCCAGTGCAGTGCCCACATGACAGCTCACAACTGTCTGTGACTCCAGTTCCAGGGGATCTGGCATCCTCACACAGATATACATGCAGGCAAAACACCAAGGCACATAAAAACAAATAAACTTAAAAAAAGACAAAAACTAGAGGGTCTTTCTGTCCTGGAACTCACTTTGTAGACCAGGCTGGCCCTGAACTCACAGAGATCCGCCTGTCTCTGCCTTTTGAGTGCTGGGATTAAAGGTGTGCGCCACCACCATCCAGCAAGACCTCATTTAATGTGTTTGTGTTTTGCCTGTATCTGTGTATGTCACTGGTATCTACCTGGTGCCATGGTGCCAGTGAAGGAGGCTTCAAATCCCGGACACTGGAGTTATGGGTGGATTTGTAAGCCACCATATATACAAGAGCAGCCAGTACTCTTAACCGATGAAACTTCTCTCTAGCCTGAGATTTTGATTTTGACCTATGGTCTTCCTTCTTGAGTAGTGGGTTGGTTAAACTCTTAACTCCACCACTTGTGTGTTGGTATTACAAGTGTGTGCCCCTGATGCCATTTTAGTATTTCTTTTTACTGCCTCCTTTCCATTCCATCTTCCTGCAGGAATCCTGGCCCTGGGAGCTCGAGAGTCTGTCCTGGTCACCAGAGTGTTCACAGGCGTGAATCTTTTGGTGCTGTGCTTCGTCTCCCTGTCTGGGTTCATGAAGGGCAGTCTCCACAACTGGCAGCTCAACGAGGATGACTACAAACTGGCCATGTCAGGGGCCAACAGCACTGACAGGTCAGGACCCCTGAAGGACACAGTGAGCTGAGGCCAGGAATGCCTGGGGAATAAGAGAGTCTGGCTAGTGGACCTAAAGGAGGTGCTTAGCAGCCCAGAACTGTGTGCCAACAGAGGCACACAGTGGAAATTGTTTATAACTCTTAAGACATTTTCTTTTAAGATTTTTTTCTTTTTTGTTTTTACAGTTTTTCTCAATATGTAGCTCTAGCTGTCTTGAATCTCCCTATGTGGAGCAGGTTGGCTTTGAACTCAAAGAGATCCACTGTTCTTTGCCTTCCAAGTGCTAGAATCAAATGTGTATACCACTATGCCGGGCTTTTTTGTTTTGTTTTGTGTGTGGTTTTTTTTTTTTTTTCGGTTTTTCGAGACAGGGTTTCTCTGTGGCTTTGGAGCCTGTCCTGGGACTATCTCTGTAGACCAGGCTGGTCTCGAACTCACAGAGATCCACCTGCCTCTGCCTCCCGAGTGCTGGGATTAAAGGTGTGGGCCACCATCGCCCGGCTTGTTTTTTTTTTTTTTTTTTTTTTTTAAGGAGTTTCTCTGTAGCTTTGTAACCTGTCTTGGAACTCACTCTGTAGACCAGGCTGGCCTCAAAATCACAGAGATTCACCTGTCTGTGCCTCCTGAGTGCTGGGTTTAAGGTGTGCGCCACCACCTCCTGGCAGCAATGTTTGATATTTATTTGTGTATGGGTGATTTTGCCTGAATATATGTACGTGCATGCCTGGTGCCCGTGGAAGCCAGAAGAGGGCCTTGAATCCCTTATAACTGGAGTTAACAACCATGGTTGTGACCTACCATAGGGGTGCTAAGAATTTAACCCAGGACCTCTGGGAGAGCAGCCAGTGCTCTGAACTGCTGACTCATCTGTGTTTGAGTGTTTTTTTGAGGCAGGATATCATAGATTCCAGACTGGCATCTAACTCACTTTATAGCCAAGGGCGATCATAGACGTCTGCTTCTCTTGCTTCCACCCCTCCCACGCCAGGATTACACTTGCACTATGTGGTGTTGTGATCAAACCCAGAACTCCAGTACGCTAAGGAAGCACTCTACCAACTCAGCTACATCTTAGCAACCCATTTTCCGAACCTTCACTGTTTTTATTTTTTTGAGACAAGCTCTTGCTATGTAGCCCAGGCTGACTCTGAGGTATGTGGTCAGAGTTGACTGTGAACTCATGACCCTTCAGCCTCCAGTTCCTGCATTGTGGGATTCGAGGCTTGACCCAGCGTGCTCTGTTTCTCTGCAATGTTTTCATTCTTTCTTCTCTTGCCACAGCTTGGGTCCTCTGGGCTCTGGAGGCTTCACGCCTTTTGGTGCCAGTGGAATTCTCCAAGGTGCAGCAACATGCTTCTTTGCCTTCATTGGTTTCGATTGTATTGCGACTACAGGTATGGTAGTCCTTCTGGCCTATCAAAAGCATAGACATGGTTTGGATTTACCCTTGGACACAGGGCTGGTAGAGGGTTAGCCTGCTTTGGGGAGTGTAGGAGGGGAGAGGGTTTGTGAAGTGACCTGAGAATGCTTCTGAATCCAGGTCTGTTTCATCCCTGCAGGGAAAGAGGTTCGCTGTCCCCAGCGCTCCATCCCACGGGGCATCGTGGCCACACTCTTTGTTTGCTTTCTGATGTATTTTGGTGTTTCGGCGGCACTTACCCTCATGATGCCCTACTACCAGATTCACGCTGACAGTCCCTTGCCCCAGGCGTTTATCCACGTGGGATGGGGTCCTGCTCGATATGTGGTGGCTGTGGGAACGTTATGTGCCCTTTCATCCAGGTTGGTATCACAGGTTTCTCTCATCTGCTGCTGGATTCTCAGCCTCTGAGTTGGAGAGAGGAGAGGGAGGCAAAACATCTAAAGGAGTAGGGCTCACCTATTGTAACTATTAAGAGTTTCCTTTTCCTTTATAGCCTCATGGGTGCCATTTTCCCCGTGCCTCGGGTGGTCTATTCCATGGCAGAGGATGGGCTCCTTTTCCGGAGACTCACCCGTGTTCATCCTCGAACACACACCCCTGTCCTAGCCACTGTCCTTTGTGGAATCATCACAGGTAGATACCTAGTCTTATCAATTTCATCAGCTTGGCTATATCCACTAGCCAGTTCCTCAGAGTTTCTACACAGATTTCTTATTCTTATCATTATAGCACTTACGGCTTTCCTTGTTGAGCTCAGTGACCTGGTGGACCTCACAACCGTAGGAACCCTGCTTTCCTACTCCTTGGTGTCCTTCTCGGTTCTGGTCCTCAGGTAAGCCTCCACCACACCTGGCCTGAGGGTGATGGGGCCATGAAGATGGCCAGGTGCTTATTCTGGCTGTCGGATGGCTTCATGGGGGCAGCTGGTAATGTTCCCACACGACCTCACTCATTCAGGTACCAGCCAGACCAGAACTTAAGCTCTCGTCAGACGGAGGAATCAGAGAGTGGAGCTGTTGAGATGAAGCCCGCTCTTGAACGTTCTTCATCTTTGGAGCCTATTTCTGCAGCAGGAACTCCAGGAATTGCAAGGAGCCTCTGTAACCCCACAGATAAGAATCCGACACTGAGATCTGGCCAGATTGTGTATGGATGTGCCTTCCTGCTTGGTGAGGACTGAGACTTTCCCCTTGGGCATTTGGGAGGAAGCTGACAGCGTGGGGAGGACATCACTAGCAGAGGGGAAGACGCAGCAGAGATTTGGTAAGATGCCATATGTGTGGCCCAGGGTCCTGACATCCTTCTCCCCGCTGTGACTTTCAGTTCTCCTGCTGATGTTCCTTTGCCTAGTCCTGGCCCAGTGGCCTGGACAGCTCTTCTCTGGAGACCTGGTTCTGATAGCTGTGGCTGTATCACTGCTGCTTCTCATTGTCGGGGTGGCCATTGTCATCTGGAGACAGCCTCAGAGTACCACTCCTCTCCACTTCAAGGTAGTGGTCACACCTGACCCCGGGTCTAAGCGTGTTTTACATCTCGGGAAGGAAGTGATGGGGAACTGATAACAGCCAACAAACAGTCGGCATGGTGGTCCTTGTCTTTAATCCCACCCAGCACTTAGGAGGCAGAAGTAGGGGAAGCCTCTGAGGTTTTTTTTTTTTTGGGTAGGGGAGAGACAGGGTTTATTTGTGTCATCCTAGTCCTGGCTGTCCTGGAACTCACTCAGTAGACCAGCCTTAAAAATCACAGAGATCCACCACCTCTGCTTCCCTGACTGCTGGGGTTAAAGGCATGCACCATCACTGCTCAGCTGGAATCTCTGAGTTTAAGGCTAGCTTTGGTCAGGCCAGCAAGGGCAACATAGTGATAGCATGTCTCACGAACAATCAATCAAATAAACAACCCCCTCCCAATACACCAATGGACAGAGTCAGGTATCACTGTGCGTATATGATCCCAGATACTCAGGAGGCCGAGGAAGGTCATACCTTAAAGTCCACCAGAGGCTGCAGCTACTTCTAGGCCAGATCAGGCAGTTTAGTGAAATTCTGTCTCAAAATAAAAACTAGCACAGCTATGTTGGCACATGTTTATACCGTTAATCCCAGGGAACCAGAGGGAAGAAGATCAAGAGTTCAAGTGAGTTTGAGACTGACCATGCCAGACATGTTGGCACTCGTCTTTAATCCCAGCACTTGGGAGGCAGAGGCAGGTGGCTCTCTGTGAGTTCAAGGGCAGCCTGGTATACAAAGCAAGTTCCAGGACAGTCAGGAATACATAGAAATTCTGTCTCAAAAAAAGAAAAAGAAAAAAGACTGACCAGGCTTAGTTACACGGAGCCCTGTCTCAAAGAACCAATCAAACAAAGCAAAACAACCCTCCAAAAAACAAAACCAAGTAAAAATACCCCCCCCAACCAAAACCCAACAAATCCCAGAGTGCCCTTAGCCCCCAAGTCCGGGAGATGTGTAGAGTACTTACTTAATAGGCATGAGGATCTGAATATAATCCCCAGTACTGTAAAAGGCAAGTAGGAACGTCATCAGCTGGCAGAACAATAGTTTGGAGTGCATGAAGTCTTGGGCTTAATCCCAGCCCTGCAAAAACCAGGAGTGGTGGTATATTACTATAATCCTAGCACAGCGGAACCAGGGCCTGGAGGATCAGAAGCTCAGGCTCCTAGAGTTCCGGGTCAGCCAGGGATACTTGAGACCCTATGTCCAAAAAAGGCATCTGCTGACAGGGGTGGTGGCACATGCCTTTAATCTCGGTACTTGGGAGACAGGGGCATGTAGTCTGAGGCTAGCCTGGTCTATAAAGCAAGTGCAAGTTCGAGGACAGCAAGAGCTACACAGAGAAACCCTGTCTTGAAAATGAACCAACTAAACAAAGTAGTGATTTGCTCACAACTCCTAGCTCAGTCTACACCCCCCCCCTTCTTTTCGAGAAAGGGTTTCTCTGTGTAATAACTCTGACTGTCCTGGACCTCACTCTGTAGACAAGGTTGGCCTTGAACTCACAGAGATCTGCCTGTTTCTGTCTCCCCGAGTGCTGGGATTAAAGGCTTGAGCCACCAACCACCTGGCCCAGCCTAGTATTTCTGTGCTCAGTATCTGTCCCTGCTGGCACATCCCATGGGGTCTCCAGTATGAGCAGGCACTGACTGCAGAGCCTAGACAGCAGCTGGGTCTTCCACCCTGGGGGTGTGTGTACACACCGGTACTCACAGACTGTGGCCACAGGTTCCAGCACTGCCCCTGCTCCCTGTGTCGAGTATCTTTGTGAATGTCTACTTGATGATGCAAATGACTGCCATGACCTGGACTCACTTTGGAATCTGGATGGCGATTGGTGAGTGAGCAGCTTTCTGGGGAAGAGATTCTTGGGCAACTAACTGGGTTCAACACCCTTTTCATTGCCTCTCTTTGAAACTGTCTGGGGCCACATGGAGAATCTCCTGATGGGCACCTAGGTAGAGGAGTGACCATTTCCACCTCACTGTTTCTGTTTCTTTTTTTTTTTTGTTGTTGTTATTTTAATTTTTTTTTGAATTTCATTTTACATTCCAACCACAGTTCTCCCCTGACCCCTCCTCCCACCTCCCCCCTTTCCCCCCAGCACACCCCCATCCACTCCCAACAGGTAAGTGCTCCCAAGAAAATCAACAAAGTTCCTCAGGACCAAGCCTGTCCCCGCTGCATTAAGGCTGAGCATGGCATCCCACCGTAGGGAATGGGCTGCAATAGTTACCTCATGCACCAGAGATAGATCCTGGTTCTCTCTTCCCTTTCAGGATTTGCCATCTACTTTGGATATGGGATCCGGCACAGCCTGGATGGGAGGGATGACCAACAGCCAACAGCAACAGCCTCAAACTCGCAGGCTGTCCAGGAACATATGTCCAGTGTGGAATTAGAGTAACTGCAGAAAGACCCTGTGGCTATCTGTGTGTGGTGGGGAGACAGTACTGGTCACTGAATTTAGAGCCTTGTGCATCTGCGGAGAGACTTGCCGGTGTCTTCAGCTTAAGGAAAGGCTTGAATATTTGGGCTGTAGATGGAATTTATTTTTGAAAGCATTGTTATTTGTCAGCAAATTTCTTAACTTTTCCCCCCTTATTCCCTGAAATGGGATTCATGGTTTTACATATGCTAGGCAAGTGTTCTATTGCTGAGCCACATCCCTATCCCCTCTAGTTATTTAACTGACAATAAAAATTAAATTATATATTTTTGAACATCATATTACTTATATATTATAGGATGGGTAATTAAATCAAGCTGATTAATAAACTGCTTTTTTTTGATGAGGTCAGTCTTATGTGGCGCAGGTCAGCCTTGAAATTGATCTTCTGAATGTTACATATTATTATTTACTTATGTTGTTGTGGGGTATTCAGCAGAGCAGACTGCTCAGACATGGGTTTAAGCCAGTAGTCTTTATTAGCTGACCAGCGACTACACTGGGTGCTTGGGATTGCAGTGTAGCATTAAGTTTCTCATGATGAGCTTTTTAAGCACAAAATATATTCTAGGCTAACCTATTTCATTTAGTTAACAAGTACTGTTAGCTAGAAGAGGAACTATAGAAGCACAAAAGCAAGATTAGCAAGATTAGTGCATTTATTTTATTTATTTATTTTTTTAAATTATTTTGGGTTTTCAAGACAATGTTTCTCTGCGTAGCTTTGGAGCCTGTCCTGGAGCTTATTCTGTAGACCAGACTGATCTTGAATTCACAGAGATCTCCCTGCCTCTGCCTCCTGAGTGCTGGGATGAAAGGTGTGTGCCACCACTGCCTGGCTAGATTAGGACATTTAGAGACCTTGCCAGATCTATGGGTTTTGGATTAGGTCTTTGTTTTTATTTTTGGCAGGTGGTGCTGTCTATGCTGAGTTTTACAGCCTGAATGGCATTTCCATCATGGAGTCAGTTGTGCTAGTCTGGGGCTTGTTACCTTCCTGACTGGTCTTAGTGGATGAGCCAAATCATGAACGCATTCTGTTTTAGTTTAAGTTGTGGGTTCCCAATAGGCAGGTGTTGGTGCATACCTTTAATCCCAGTACCAGAGAAGCAGAAGTTAACTTGGCCTACAGAGACAGTTCCAGGACAACCACCAGGACTATACAGAGAAACTCTGTCTCTAACACCTGTTCCTGTCCCCAGAAAAAAGAAAAAATAGTAGGGCTCCTGCTGTTAATCCAATCGGAATGAGAATTAACAACTCAGTCAGTGCTGATAGCAGAATAGCTAGTCAGGGGGACCAAGAAAATAGATTGGAACCGATTTTTTTCCCCAACCGTGGCAAGCTTTCTTTCTTTTTTTAAAAAATTACTCTGATCAGTTAGCATAGAAACAACAGATTTTCCTCAAATCTATACATAGTTTTCCTTATCTCATGAGAAGTCGAAGGCTCTCCAATTTTGTAGGACCATGTCTGCAAGGAAATCGAACTGTTGCAATTTAGAAATGGAAACTCTTAATACCTCTTGGTTCTGATCAACCCGTCTGTTTGACTTTACCCCAGCCCCTGGCATCCATATATTCAGAGTCTGAAATGTTTGGGTGGAAGTTTCATCCCAAGCCCCCTCCCCTGCAAATTGCCTCAGTCTGGACTCCACTTGCGATAAATCCCACCAAACTATGACTCCTCCCCCCTCCCCAGAGATGCTCAAGACCACTCCCACAGGGTATTTAAACTGCTCCCTAGAGAACAACCCGTGGTTTTCTGGTCTTCCTTCCCGGTCTCATCTGGGTGGGGGTGGGGGGGGGCTTGGAAGGCCACCTGGAAGCATTGGCATCCATTAAACCTGTGCCTTTTTTTTAAAAATATTTATTTATTTATTTATTTAGTATACAGTGTTCTGTCTGTGAGTATGTCTGCAGGCCAGAAATGGGCACCAGACCTTATTACAGATGGTTGTGAGCCACCATGTGGTTGCTGGGAATTGAACTCAGGACCTTTGGAAGAGCAGACAATGCTCTTAACCACTGAGCCATCTCTCCAGCCCCACCTGTGCCTTTTTTTAATTAGGTTTGATTTGTTCTGATTTGGATTATTGTGTCAGTGGATCGGTTTATGGGGCACAAAAACTTCTCATGGTCTACTTAGTTTGGAAAGCATCAGAAGAGGCACAGAGCTGGGTGGTGGTAGCTCATGCCTTTAATCCTCAGTAGGCAGAGGCAGGTATGGATATCTGAGTTCAAGATCATCCTGGTCTAAAGAGCTAGTTCCAGGAAAGCCAGGGCTGTTATACAGAGAAACCCTGTCTCAAAACAAAACAAACAAAAAGAAACCCAAACAAACAAAAAAGAGGCACAGGTAGTCAAACCATTAGTACTTGCCCACCACATAGTTTCAAAGGCTATATTGCTGCAATATAGATGAATTGCCCATAAGGTATAATATCAGGCATCACAATAAGGGAAAGTGTCTAGGTTAAAGGATTTGGATATTAGACAAGCTTTAGCCCTTGGAAGCATTAATTTGGACTGCCCCCACCCCCAGTCACAGTCAGTTTTGTCAGTCAATGAACTGACAATCTGGTTAGTTCTATCCCTATATAGAATGGAGAATGGGTATTTAAGTATAACCAGCAATCCTGGCTGATTTTTGGCTGCGAATGGTTAACGCTATACCCAGGGTCCCTTCCTATGGCATAGAGTTTGATTCTCCAGGTTTTTCCTGTTTTTCTAAAGGCCAGAAATTTTTTTCTTCAAGACAGGGTTTCTCTGTAGTTTTGGAGCCTGGAACTAGTTCTTGAAGACCAGGCTGGCCTCCAATCACAGAGATCCACCTGCCTCTACTTCTGGAGTGCTGGGATTAAAGGCATATGCCACCACTGCCTGGCTCAGAATTTTTGTTTTTCAAGGCAGGGGTTTCTCTGTATAATAGCCCTGGCTGTCCTGGAACTGGCTTTATAGACCATGCTGGCTTTGAACTCACAGAGATCTACCTGCCTCTATCTCTCCTGTGCTGGGGATAAAGAAGTGTGCCATCACTACACAGCAGGCCAGAATCTTTAAAAGAAAGTTTTCAGGAAACCTTAGTTATACAACGCTAATTAAAAAAAATAAACAACAACAATAAAAAAACAGGGCTGGAGAGATGGCTCAGTGGTTAAGAGCATTGCCTGCTCTTCCAAAGGTCCTGAGTTCAATTCCCGGCAACCACATGGTGGCTCACAACCATCTGTAATGAGGTCTGGTGCCCTCTTCTGGCCTGAAGACATACACACAGACAGAATATTGTATGTATAATAAATAAATATTAAAAAAAACAACTATTTTTTTTCTTTTTAAATTGGGAGCATGGAGACCATGGAGAGGGCTGAAGGAGAGGGGAGAGGAAGCGGGGGGGGGGGGGAACAGAGAAAAATGTATAGCTCAATAAAATCAATTAAAAAAATGACTCACCCTGATTATGGGCAACAGTCATTCCACAGCCTAGAGTCCTGTAGCCAGTAAGGAGAAAGATAACTGGGCATTAGCATTGTTTCTCTACTTGTTGACTGGATGCATTATGTCCAGCGCCTCAGGCCGGTGGACTGTAGTCCCTCAGACTGTAAACCAGAATAAACAGTTTTGTTTCCTAAGTTGCCTTTGCCAACGTATAATTGCCACAGCATTGAAAAAAGTGGCTAATTTAGGGAGGTACTGAAATGTGAATAGATACAAGGCATTTCATTCTGTAATTTATTTCTTTTCTAAAACAGGTTCTCATGTTTCCAGTGTTATGCTTTTGTCTTTTTTGTCTGATGTGGATTATTTCTTTTTTTCTTTTTCTTTTTTTATTATAGAATACATTATTTTTTATTGATATTTATTGAGGTTTACATTTTTCTCTGCTCCCCTCCCTGCCTCTCCCCTCCCTCAAAGTCCCCATGTTCCCACTTTACTCAGGAGATCTTGTCTTTTTATACTTTCTACTTCCCATGTAGATTAGATCTATGTAAGTCTCTCTTAGTGTCCTCATTGTTGTCTAAGTTCTCTGGGATTGTGGTTTGTAGGCTGGCTTTCTTTGCTTTGTGTTTAAAACCCACCTATGAATGAGTATATGTGATAATTGTCTTTCTGTGTCTGGGTTACCTCACTCAAAATAATGTAGAAACCTATTTTTTTAAAATATTTATTTATTTATTTGTTTATTATGTATACAGTATTCTTCCTGCAGGTCTCATTACAGATGGTTGTGAGCCACCATGTGGTTGCTGGGAATTGAACTCAGGACCTTTGGAAGAGCAGGCAATGCTCTTAACCGCTGAGCCATCTCTCCAGCCCCCCGAAACCTATTTTTTTTTTAAAATTTATTTATTCCAGCACTTGGGAGTCAGAGGCTGGCAGATCTCTGTGGGTTCCAGAATAGCCAGGGCTGTTATACAGAAACCTTGTCCTGGAAAACTAAAACAAGTAGTTTATTTATTCTCTCATACTTTACGTACTGATCACAGTTTCCCCTCCCTCTTCTCTCAGCTCCTCTCCCCTCCTCTCTTCCCCAGATCCACCCCATTTCCCTTTAGAAATGAGCAGACCTCCCAGGGCCTGAACACAGCATAAATTACAATAAAACCAGGTGCATATCCTCATCAGGGTTGTGCAAGCAACCTAGTAGAAGTGATAGGGTCTCAGGAGCAGGTAAAAGAGCCAGAGATGCATTCCACTCCCACTGTTAGTCCCACAAGAGCACCAAGCTACACAACCATAACACGTGTGCAGAGGACCAAGCACCTACGCATGCAGGTTCTGTGACTGCTGATTCTGTGGTTTATGTTCTTGTGTTGTCCTCGACCCCTCTGGTTCCTGCAATTCTTCCTCCACACTCTCTGTGGTTATATCCCTCATTTTTGTAATGGAAACTCTCTTGTTTCTGGCAACTTGGGAACCAAGCCATGGGGCATACATAGAATGGTAAACTATATTTTTTTTAATCTCAAAAGATACATTTTTACATCTTTCCTTTTTTTCTGTACTTAAAGTAGGCTTCAGTAAGTAAAAGTCAGGATGGAATATGGGTTGGTCTGTAGTCACACTAGCTAATACCTTTCTTGTGTCTGTCTTCCTCAGTTTCTAGTCCAAGCCTGAGGGTGGTGGGGTTTGGACCACAGCCCTGTATTACCTGTAGTACAAAACAAGACTCAGCAGAGTAATGGTCTGTCCCTTTAAGAGACAAGCCCCACCTACTCCCTCCTTGGGCACTGCCTAGGTGGGTGAATCTTCCTTCTACTTCCAGCCTGAGCCCTTCCTGTCTCTCCCAAAGAGGTAGCTGCTGCTGTGGCTCCTCTCCTCTCCTCTCCTCTCCTCTCCTCTCCTCTCCTCTCCTCTTCCTTTCTTTCCTTGTCTCCCTTCTTGCTCCCTCTCTCCTTCCCTTTCATAACCCACTAAATAAACATCCAACCTCACTCTGCATGGTGTGCCTATCCATCTTGGTCTCTCACCCGCCATGTGGCTCCCTGCCTGGGACTGGCTGCCTTTGTGGCCAGCCGAGGTCTCAGGACCCACTGCCCACTGCTGCCACTCAGGGCCCTGCAGCATTTTATTTTTACCATTACAAGCAGGAGGTAGAGGGACAGGGAGTAGAAGGTCTGGGGGCCCAATGGAACATTAATTTTAGTGGGTCCACAGTCCAGAGATGGGCCATTTGGCACCTGTGGTTTCTACTTTCTTGATCTAGGTGTGGTGGATCCATGGTGTAATGCCAACTACCTTGCCATAGGAGTGGAGAGTATCACCTTGGAGGGTCCTTTTCAGGTTAGTTCTAGCACCCTTTTGGTTCCTTGCTTAACCCAGAGAGTATCACTAGACTCAAACAAAAGGAAGCTGCTGGTGGACTGAGGTTGGCTGGATCTCTCAGATAGTCAATGAATAGCCTGTATGGAGAACTAGCATGCTTGTTGTGACTTGAGAGAGGAATGGCTAGAGAGTTCTGCCAACTGCTGCCCTCTGAGCATCGGAGACAGTGGAGTAAGTCTTCTAAACAGTACCTCATAGGGAGTAGATGTCTTTCTATGTGGGGTGCAGCAGGCAGAAACAAGGAATGCATGCTTCAGGTCCAAGACAGTGAATACCTGTTTCTCTGGATGACTCAGCCTCATGAGAATCAGAGGTTCCAGGCTTCTTTGTAGGCAGGAGAGGTGTATTCCCGGGTACTAACAGGGACCAGGATGCCTGTCACTTCAAGCCAGCAAATATGGATTGCAATAGTCCTTTTGTTTCCAGGGTCATTGGGTATTCTTAATTTGGATGGAGGTAGTTGAACTGGTTAATTGAACAACTATTGGAGCTTGGTGTTAGGCCAGTCCTGAAGGTTGTGTTCTTCTGTTAGAGTATGAAACACCAAAATTTTATTGACTTTCTGTAAATTTGTCTTATCATCAGAGAAGGTGACAGAGGCTTTTTTTTTTTTTTTTTTTTGGTTTTTCAATACAGGGTTTTTCTGTAGCTTTGGAGCCTGTCTTGGAACTAGCTCTTGTAGATCAGGCTGGCCTTGAACTCTGCCTTCCGAGTGCTGGGATTAAAGGTGTGTGCCACCACCACCCTGCAAAGGCTTTTAATGTATGTAAAAGGTCTTGTTTCAATCAGTTAAACATCCTTTAAGTTACCGTTTACATCTGGAACATACTTATACCTTAAGTTTTTAAAAATTTTTTATTACTTTTTAAATATTTGGGGCCAACTGAGTGACAAAGGGAATATTTTTAGTAGCTGTCTTTAATCCTTTAAAAAAGGACTTAGTGAAAGTTGTTTAAAGTCTCCTTAATTAGTGTTAGAAAGAAAGGAAAATCCATTCTGTCTAGGCTGTAATTGTCTGAGAGCCCCCTGATGAGACCAGAGACAGTGTTTTTTCCCCCCACTTACTTTTTCAAATGAAGATATAAATCACGAAAGAGAAAGGAGTAGAATGTTCTCTTTTGTCTTCGACTTAGCTCAGGGGAACTTTCCTCCTGCCCTGGGCCTGTTCAGGGCAGGCAGGGAACAGAGAGAATGCTCACCTGGGTGAACTATTTCCCCCTCCTTGTGTACAGTTTGCTTAGAAAGCTGGGGGCCCTGGATGTGAGGCCCCATCTCTCCCCATCCCCCACACAGCGACCAACCCTGTGAGCAGGAGGACAACAACAGAACAAGCGAGCTCTCCTGCTCCTGTAGTGGGGCAGGTGGAGGTTTTTTTGTTTTTGTTTTTTTTTTTTTTCCTGTTTTGTTCTCATGACCTAGCAGAGTCAAAAGGATTCTGGTCCCCAACAGGAGTGGGGAACAGGTCTTAAGCCAGGTAGGAGGAGGGTCTCATATATCAGGTCAATACAGGAAAACAAAACTGACAGAAACATACGCACACACATTCACGCACACATGTACACATACAAAGCAGAGTAAAACAACAGGTGCAGCCACACACACATTCATAGACCTGAGCTGACAGAGGGATCCGGTGATGATGCACATGGATCCCAGACACTGCATCAGCACCCGCGTTCAACCTCTCCCGTGTCCAATCAGAACTCACCTCCTGAAGTGACAGACCAGCAACATGTGTACTCCTTAAAAGTGTCCGCCAGGCACAGCTTCCTCCCTTGCCTCCTTTTTCCTCTCATGCCTCTCTTCTTCCTCTTGTCTCTTCCCTTTCCTCTCTCTCTCTCTGTCTGTCTGCCTGCCTCTCTCATGTCCCCACTCCAACGTGGCCTTTTGCTTTTTCACCCTCCCCCTACCCCCAATAAACATTTTGCATCAACTCTGTTGTGCTTGTATTTGTTTACTGGCATACCTCCTCATCCCCTTGTCTCCACTTCCCCAAGTGTTGGTATTACAGGTGTGTACCATGCTGTTCGGTTTCTTTCTTTGCTCTCCTCCCTCCCTCTCTCCCTCCCTCCCTCCCTCCCTCCCTCCCTCCCTCCCTCCCTTTTCTGTCGGTCTGTCTTTCTTTTGACAGGGTTTCTCTGTGTAACAGCTCTGGATATTCTGGAACTTGCTTCATAGACCAGGCTGGCATTGAACTCACAGAGATCTGCTTGCTTCTGCCTCCAGAGTAAAGGGATTAAAGGCGTGTGCCACCACCACCTGGCCTTCCTTTCTTATCCCTTCTGTCTCCAGTTTACAAAGCAATAGTGAGCAAGAGAGAGCCCAGCTCCATTGGTAGTGGGGAGGGAATTCTGGGTCCCTTCTGATATTGACGTGGTGTATTCAGAAGTGGGCAATGAGGAGCATAGCATCTACAAGGATATTTGCACATGAAGCCTAGTGCAGGAGGGAAGGCTGCTTCTGAAACCTGAGTCTAGCACTGTGAACATGCCTAGAAAACTCCAAAAATCTTTTTTGTTTTGTTCTTGAGACAGGGTTTCTCTGTGTAGCTCTGGCTGTCCTCGGACTCACAGAGATCCGCCTGCCTAGCCGCCTCCCTAGTGCTGGGATTAAAGGGGTGTTTCACCACTGCCCGGAGAGGACTCAAAATTATTAACAATTATCAATACATATACGACACAATAATGAGAAACCTTAGATGATATATAACACTGAGTAAAACAAACATACCTCTTTCTTCAGCCCTAGATTCATTGTCTTGACCAAGTTCCATAAGACAGTCCTGGGCATCAGGCACACCACTGTCACACAACTGAAGTTCTCCTCCTGCATCTAGCATCTCCAAGGAGCTTTGAGCATTTGAACCCTTTCCAGATTTTTATTTTATTATTATTATTTTTAATATATTGGCATTTGGTCTTGAGCTCTATCTATTCCTTCTTTTTCTTTTTTCATTAATTAAATTTTTTTTCATTTGTTTTACATCCTATTCTAAGTTGCTCCCCCATACCCACTACTCCTCTGTCTCCAGTCAAAGGACAGCCCTCCCATGGGCATCAGCAAAACATTGTTCCTTTCTGGGCTCCAGAAACTTTAACTCTACTTCCACTCATATCAAACCCAGGCCCCCTTAGTTCCAGGCTCCTCCCCGAGTTTATCATCCCCTCATTCTAGCCCTCTCATAAGAAGGCTTAGTTCCCATCTTTGTTCCCCACATCCCACCTAGGACTCTAGGAAATATGTGTCATGGTTCCCTCACCAAGACAAGTGCTTTCAGCCCCTTGCCTCCACCTGCAATGTTCACTGGCGGCATTAATTTACAAACAGTTGATCTGACTACACAAATCCAGTCCAAAGTTACTTTTTAAAATTTTAGTTATTTTTAATGAATAAATAATTGTGTTACACTTAGTATTTACATTGTATATTATCTTTGTAGAGAACACTGTGATGTTTTAATACATATATACAATGGGGAATGACTGAACTGAAGAAACATCCATCACCTCACTTGTGTGGTGAGATTTTTGATCTACTTCCTCATTTTAATGTTAGGAATTCCTGTGACTCTCCTGACATGCCATAGTGGTTTTCCTTTGCGTTTCCTTGCTGAGGAATGAGGTGGGACACATTTCCATCAACTTATTGGCCACCTGGTGATCTCTGACATGTGTCGCCTCTTGAGTCTCTGTTGACTGTGGGATTCCTGATGCCTCGGGCAGTCTGCAGATTGGTGCACACCTCACTCTGTTCCTCACCTTTCTTTTTTTCTTCATCAGCAGCTTCTAGTCTGACAAAGTCTAATGATCTTTTCCCTTCAGTGTGGTCCATGCACTAAGAAATCACTGCTTAATCCAAGATGGAAACAGTCATCCTAATGCCATCTCGGTCGCATTCCAAGGGAACCCACAGGGGTCTACCTGGAATGGCTCGTGATGACAATACTAATGGTGATGACCACAAGAACAGTGGTAGGCAGTATTTATAGAGCTGACAGTCTCCTAAGACAGTCTTAAGGAGTTTACATTTAGTTTCCATAGTGGGATTATCTTTATGGGAAAGACGTGCACAGAACAGACATTTTACAAACACAGGCAGTCTTGCTATACGGAGGTTTTCAACTTTTTGATGGCACAAAAGCAATCCAGACAACCATAGCCTTGTTTTTTTGGTTTTTGTCTTTGTTTTTTGAGACAGGGTTTCTCTGTAGCTTTTGGAGCTTGTCCTGGACCTAGCTCTTGTAGCCCAGGCTGGTCTTGAACTCACAGAGACCTGCCTGCCTCTGCCTCCCCAGTGCTGGGATTAAAGGCATAAGCCACCACTGCCTGGCTTATAGCCTTTTCAAATCACAACATTGCGAAAGTGTGTCCACACAACTATGGATTTTTCAGCTTTGTGACAGTGTGAAAGCATGTTCAATATAACTACTGATTTTTCAGTTTTACAAAAGTATGCCCAGTCTAATCACTGATGCTGTCAATTCTGTGAAAGTACTCTCAATATGACCAGGTTTTTCAGCAGTACAGTAGCACAGACATATACTGAGCATAACTGCTTTTTCCATTTTATGACAGTGTGAAAACCTCCAAACCACCACTTGATTTTTCAGCTCTAGAATGGTGTGAAAACATGTTCAATATAACTACTCAATTTTCAACTCTGTAGAAGTGAACTGAACCACAAGAACTGATTTTTCAACTTCAAGATGGTGTGAAAGTGTACCTAATATAACCGCAGATCTTTCAACGTCACGATGGTGTGAAAGCATCAACTTCAAGATGGTGTGAAAATCACCACTGATTTTCACTTTTAACACAATATTCAAAAAAACTTTTTGAGGCGTGGTGATGCTATGTAGACTAGTCTGAAATCTGGTATGTTGCTCAGGCTAGCCTTGAACTCTCAATCTTCCTATCTCAGTCTCTTGAGGCTAGCACATGCCTGACCATTAGTCAAGAAATTGTGTGAGCCTCTGTATTTTATTCGTGAATAGACTTTGTGTTAGATGATTTGCCCAGTGTTGGGTAAAGGCATGCTCTGAGCACACTGGAGGCAAGCTGGGTTAAGCTGTGGTGTTTGGTTGATAAGGTGTCTTAAGTGCATTTTGAACTGATCTCCTGCAGTGTAAGATGGATTTGTCGGGGGTGAGGAGCAGCTTGTGAGTGTCTCACAGAGAGCAAAGAGCTGGAATGGTGATGCTAGCTGGTATGGCATATGCCAAGACTAAAGGCTTTGCCACAAGTGTCACATGAGAAGGGTTGCTCCCCTCCAGTGAACCTAAATGCAATGAAAGGTGGAATGGTTTTGCGCATCTACGAATTTACGCAACAAACTTATCCAGTAAGAACACCAAGAGGAAAGGAAGTGATTGCTAAGGAAAGACCGACTCATCCAATAAGAACACTAATACAGAAGGACATAATCACTAAGAAAAGTGACTTTTACACTCCCCCAATTTACTTCTAGTATGCCTTCTGATATCAAGCAGGCAAATGCCCATGGTAGGCTTTCTTAAGATAGATTAATCACCAAGGAAAGAATGAATGTAAGGTAGAGGCCTTGGTGTGCTCTTTGTAGCCAATGTTCTCAATGTGCATGAGTCTTCTAATGTTCTCTTTATATTACTGTGAATCTTTCCACACTCCTAACACGGTTTTGCCTTGTGAGTTTTCTCGTGCTGTCTAAGCTGATGGGCATGACTGCACACATTCCTTACGTTCGTGGGCTTTCTCTCCGGTGTGAATTCTCTCATGTTTAAGAAGGCCTGATCCATATACAAAGTTCTTCCCACATTCCTTACATTTATAAGGGGTTTCACCAGTGTGAATTCGCTCATGTTTAAGAAGTCTTGATCGATATATAAAGTTCTTCCCACATTCCTTACATTTATAAGGGGTTTCACCAGTGTGAATTTGCTCATGTTTAAGAAGGCTCGATCGATATACAAAGTTCTTCCCACATTCCTTACATTTATAAGGGGTTTCACCAGTGTGAATTCGCTCATGTTTAAGAAGGCCTGATTCATACATAAAGGCCTTCCCACATTCTGTACATTTATAGAGTTTCTCACCTGAATGAATTCTTTCATGGTTAACAAGGCTTGAAAGCCAGTGAAAGGCTCTCCTACATTCCTTACACTCATGTGGTTTCTCGCTAGTGTGAAGCTTCTGGTGCCGAGTGAGGAAATTGACTCTAGTGAAGGACTTCCCACACTCTTGGCATTCAAAGGGTTTCTCACCTGTGTGGATTCTCTCAGGCTGAATGAGGCTGGAATCACAAATAAAGGCCTTCCCACAGTCCTTCCATTCATAGGGCTTATCCCTACAGAGAATTCTCTTGTGCTGCATAAATTTATAGAGGTGCCTGAAAGTCTCCCCACAGCCTTTACACTCATAGCGTTTCTCCCCAGTATGAAACTGCTGATGCCGAGTGAGTTTGTCGCCACACCTAAAGGTTTCCCCACAGTGTTTAAGTAAGTATGGTTTCTCCCCACTGTGAATTCTATGAACAACAAGGCTCGAACCCCAGCAAGAGGCCTTTCCGAAGCTGTTACAATCATAAGGCTTCTCCCCGGTGTGAGTTTTCTGGTGCTGAGCAAGTGGATTGCAGCAGAGGAAGGCTTTCTTGCACTCACAGGGCTTCTCGCCAGTGTGAATTTGATGCTGACTAAGCAGATACCCATGACTGAAGGCTTTCCAACAGCCCTGACATAAGAAGGACCTCTCCGTTTGAGGCCTCACATATGGTGTTGGTGTGCTATCTCTCTCAGTGGGTGCTTTTCTAGTACTGTCTGTTACATTATTGACATTTCCCTCTCCAGAGCCCCGCAGTTGTTCATATTTACCTTCACCAATCCCATAAGGGTGGGGAGATAGACTTCTGTTACTTGGATTACTTTTGTAAAAGCTCAATCCATCAATGCTTCTTCGACTAGTTAAATGGTTGGTTCTATAGGATGATTGTGTATCTGGAAGAAAAATAACATTAAGAAAAAAATATTTATTTTATGTGCATGAATATTTTGACTGCATTTCTGTATGCTCATTACAATTATGCCTGCTGTCACTGGAGGTCAGAAGGAGGCATTGATGCCTTAGAACTGGACTTACAGATGGTTGTGAGCCACCTTGTGAGTGCTGGGTACCAAACCAGGGTCTTTTGTAAGAAGAGCAAGTGTTCTCAACTGTTGAGCCATTTCTGCAGCCCTCATTTGTTTCTTTTAAAGGGAAGAATCAGAAGCAAAACTCACCACAATTCAAAGGTTTCCCCAGCAGAATTGATAGTTTGGGACCAGAGCGGTTAGGGAGGGAACACAATGGGGGCTCATGCTAAAGGCAAATGGGAAAGGACACTGACTGCTGCTCTGGGAATTCTCTGTAAGAGGGCTGAAGTGTCTTAAAAGCAAGCGATACAATGCATGCTGTAGATGGTGAGATGATGTACTTGGAAAATCCAGGAAAGCCAATATAGGGCTGCTGTGGGTCAGAATACACATTCAGGATGACATGCATAAGCCTGCAGGACATTATGTTAAGGGAAATAAGCTAGGAACAGAATAACAAACACTCTGTGTTCTTATAATAGGAAATGTAAAATTGGGCGGTGGTGGCGCACACCTTCAATCCCAGCACTCAGGAGTCAGAGACAGGCAGACCTCTGTGAGTTCAAGGCCAGCCTGGTCTACTGTAGTAGGAGCGGCGCGCAGCGTTCCCAGCGCCCGGCCACCCGCATGGTTAGCTTTACGCCCGAAATAATTACACGGAAACTGTATTCTTTTAAACACTGCTTGGCCCATTAGTTTCAGCCTCTTACTGGCTAACTCTCACATCTTGATTAACCCATTTCTAATAATCTGTGTAGCACCACGAGGTGGTGTCTTACCAGGAATATTCATAACCTGCATCTCTCGGAGAAGAGAGCTATGGCGACTGCCTCACTCGGCTTTCTTTCTCCCAGCATTCTGTTCTGTTTACTCCGCCTACGTAATTTTCTGTCCTATTAAAGGGCCAAGGCAGTTTCTTTATTTATCCAATGAAAGTAACACATAGACAGATGACTTTCCTCCATCAGTCTACAAGAGCTAGTTCCAGGACGGGCTCCAAAGCTACAGAGAAGCCCAGTGCCAAAAAACCAAAACAAACACAAAAAATCTTGATTGATGAAGTTGAGGGTAAAATCTGGGTATAGTGGCTTCACCTGTAATTGAAACACTTAGAAGGCTGAGACACGAGGGTTGCCATAAGTTTGAGGCCAGCCTGGGATACATGGAGAGTTTCAGGCTAGCCAGTGGAACCTGAGTAAAAGAAAAAAAAAGTAGCAGGTAGAATACAAGTTCCCCAAAGCTGGGAGGCTAAGAAGCAGGGAGTCAGGGAAGTTGTTTAGTTGATAACAATGCAGCAGATAAATAGGAAGATTAAGCTCTAGTACAGATGCTGTAAGGAACAGAGATTTACAGCACTGTTTGTTTGTTTGTTTTTTAAATGACTCAAGTTGTCCAGGCTGGCTTTGAACTTGGGAGGTGGTTAAGACTGACTCTTGATTTTCTGCCTCTGCCTCTTAAGTGCTTAGATAGGAGGAGGAATATGCTACCGTGCCCAGCTTTCACATATTTCAAAATAATATTCTCACTACAAAGAAAAAATGAATTTGTAAAAATATATCATTTATTTATTATATGTAGTGTTCTACCTGCATGTGTGCCTGCATGCCAGAAGAGGGCAGCAGATCTCACTGCAGATGCTTGGGACCCACCATTGATTGCTGGGAAATGAAACTCAGGAAACCTGGAAGAGCAGCCAGTGCTCTTAATTTCTGAGCCATCTCTCCAGCCCCCAGGATGAATAATGCTGTTCGTATGTGTGTGTGCGACACACACATGCGCTACAGTCTAAGAGTGGAGGTCAGAGGACAGTCTGCGGCGGTTGGTTCTGCCCGTTTACCATGTGAGCTCTTGGGATCGAACTCAAGCTGCCAGGCTTGGCAGTAAGTGAATCGTCTTGCCAGCGCCCTGAAGAAAAAAAATTTACAAGCTCAAAAAACTTCCTAGTGTCTTGCTAATTAGCCAGACTTCAAGTTGCAAGGGTTTTGGCTCAGTTGCCCTAGGAATGTGATCACAGGTGTGTTTACCTCAGTTTTTTTTTTTAAAAATCAGGAACTATTAGGTTGTAGTTATTGGAAGCTCAAAATGATATTGATAAAGGCTTCATGAAAGAGACAGCTTTAAGGAACAAGCAGGAAATCAGATGATGAGAAAAACACTCGATCACAAAACCCTCAGGGTTAGTGGAGCAGGGCGGCTGCCAGCATGCTTGAATTTTTGCCAGAATTACTCTTCTGGTTCTGGGGATGGAACCCCGAGCCTTGGGCATGCCAGTCGAGGTACATCTTCAGACCCCAGATCTGGGGAGGAGGGGTAGTGAGATAACTTTGAGTTGTGTGTGTGTGTGTGTGTGTGTGTGTGTGTGTGTATATATATATATATATATATATATATATATATATATATATATATTCTTTTTTTTTTTTTTGACACGGTTTTTCTGTGTAACAGCCCTAGCTGTCCTGGAACTAGCTCTTATAAACTAGCTAGGCTGTCTTTGAACTCACAAAGATCTGCCTCCCTCTGCCTCCTGAATGCTGGCATTAAAGGTGAGCACCACCATGGCCTGGCTGAATTGTATATATATTCTGCAGCCCAAGAACTACTAGTAATCTTCCTGCCTCAGTTTCCCAATGCTAGGATTATATGTGTGAGCTCCTGAATGCAGAATTAGAACTTTTTAATTCCTGATTTTTTTTTTGTTGTTGTTTTGATATAGGGTTTCATGTAGCCTGTAGCAGAGGCTGGCCTTGAAGTTATTATGTAACTGAGCATGAATGGCCTCCTGCCTCTACCTCTTGAGGGCTGGTGGGATGGGTGTTTGTCATGATACCTTGTTTTTTTTTGCAGTGCAGGGGATGGCTAGCATTCTCATGCTTGCTAGGCAAGAGGCCAGTCAACTGAGCTGTATCCTTAGCCCTGTTTCTTTCTGAGACAGGTTCTCATGTGGCCCAGGCTGGTCTCAAACTCCTACGTGCTAACCCTGCAGGAATGTGCTATCATGCCTGGCAAGTTCAGTTTCTGTCTTCTCTGTGACTACTCATTTGTACTTGAGTATAATTGTCTCCTGCAGTGACATAACCATGACTCACAAGCTTGTGAGAATGAAATGCGCAGCAAGCACACACTGTGCTTTTAAGAGTGCGTGACACATAGTAGGCCTAGCATTTGCCTTTCTTCGAATTATTTTATTTTACGACATGGTCCTTATGGTGTTAGCCTCAAATTCACAATCAAACTCATAATGGGACTGCAGGCACGTGCATCTAATATCAACCACAAGGTTCACAGACTGTAACTCCCGATCTCACTTCAGGTACAATATGCTGGCAATGGGAATCTACTCATTTCAATTTTACACAAACTCCATGTCTAATTTACTTTCTATTAAACACAAAGGAGGACTTAAGAGCTCTAGATGAAGACATTTCCCCTAAAGGTGGGTCCTCAAAGTACAAAAGGCTACCAAAAGCAGTTTGGGTGTAAACACAACATCTAAAGACAAGGCGGCCTTTGAAGATGGTTATAGAGATCCAGAATTCCAATTCACCACCCCTCGATCATGAGGGAAGAGAGAAGATCACAAGGAGGGATAACCAAAGGGGACAATGGCTGATGGATTGGAAGAAGAAGGCTTGGGGAGTTCACTCTCACACTGACAAAGCTCAAAGCCTTCTTTTGCAACAGGAAGAAGAAATTCAGCCAGTCTCTTGGAAAATGGTCCTGAAAGTCATAGGCGAATATGGATGCTCTGGGGAAGTACACTGCTTACCTATGGAGACCAGGTTACTGTAGTTTTCCAGCATCACATCCCAGTACAGCTTCCTCTGCACAGGGTCCAGACAAGCCCACTCCTCCTGAGTGAAGCCTATAGCCACATCAGAGAAGGTCACCAAATTCTGAAAACAGAAACCCACATACACCTGATGAGGTGGCAGGAGAGACCTTCAGGATGAAGGGGGCATTGGCTGGCACTGTGTTAGCTGAAGATGGGTGGGCAGCATGAATGCCACATTCCGGACTGAGCTCTGCTGGGTTACTACAGAGCTTATGGCTTTGCAGACAATGATCTGCCAGGGAGAAGATGAAACAATCTTCCCTTTTGTTCACAAGCACAGCGTGTGAGTGCCTGCTTGGTAAATTTCCAATGGGGATGGGGTGGAGGATATTATGGCATCTTTATCCTATTATTTAAAAAAAATAAGTTCATCTTGATTCTGATTGTGAATGTGGACACCTGCATGCCATACAATGTGGTGGTCAAAACGACAAGTTGTCTGTTTATTGTGGTTTTGAGTGTCAAACTCAGGTTGTCAGACCTTGGTGTCTTTACCTGCTGGGCCATTTCTAGCCACATCTTTTAGGTTTTTGAGACAGGGTCTTGTTATGTAGCCCAGGCAAACCAAGAGATTCATGATCCTCCTGCCGCAGACGCCCTCCACATGCTGAGATTAGAGATGTGCATGCCTACATTCAGATTAGTTTTCTTTAAAAGTGATTTGTTTGTGTGCAGGTACATGTGCGACTGTGTACGGTCAGAGAACTTGTGGGAGTCGGTTCTGGGGATCAAACTCACATCACCAGGCTGGGCAGCAAGCATCTTAATGATGAGCAATCCTGTTGTTTCCCAGATGCTGTTCTCTCCCTCCCCACTCCATGCTGGCGTTCAAACCCAGGGCCTTGTGAGTGCTAAGTAAGCATTCCATCACCGAACTACACACCCGGCTCACCTTCTCTCTCTGGGAGTACAGGGGGTTGAAACCCGGGCATCATGCATATGAGGCGCTCACTGAGCTCAAGTCTCTGTTCTCTTCAAAAACAAACAATTTTATGTATATAAGTATTTTGCTTGCATGAGTCTGTGCCTCACATATATGCCTGGTACTTACAAAGGCCAGAAGAGGCTGTGGAATCCTCTGGAACTGGAGTTACAGATGGCTGTGAGCTGCCATGTGGGTGCTGGATATTGAAGCTGAGTCCTCTAGAAGAGCAGCCAGTGCTCTTAACCACTGAGTCATTTCTCTAGACCCTCTCTCTTTGTTCTTAGGAAAGAAAAATTTTTCCTTTTTAAGATTTTATTTTCTTAAAATTAATTAATTAATTTATATTATTTAATTAATTTTGTTTTTTGAGACAGGGTTTCTCTGTACAGCCCTGGCTATCCTGGAACTCACTCTGTAGACCAGGTTGGCCTCAAAACTCAGAAATCCACCTGTCTCTGCCTCCTGAAATCTGGGATTATAAAGATGTGCACCACTATAGTTTTTTTTTGGGGGGGGGAGGGGAGGAGACAAGTGTCTCTCTATATAGTCCTGGTTGTCCTGGAACTTGCTATGTAGAACAGGATGGACTCAAGTTCTTTTAATTTAGGCTTTGCATATTCGAGTGTTCTGAATGCTCAAGTCACTGAGTAGTCTCCCTTTGCAATGACTGAAGTATGAAAACATCTCTTCTTATAGACAGGCTAGGGAGACTTAAGCCTATTGGCGTCATGTACTTGGCTGACTGACACAACTGTTAGTTCTTCCTTTCTCCTGTTCCTGACGCAGAGGACACTGGTACCAAACGACTAAGCATCATACGGCAGTCTGACAGGACCATCCAAAACCAAAATGTGTGTTCTGGTTTCCATGGCAAGCACGTGGTTAGAACCCTATTCAGTACAGTGTCAGATTGACAAGCCTCACAAAGCTTGTATGTCAGCATATATGAGGATGAAGATCACTGGACATATTCCTTCTTACCTACCCAGAACATAAGACCAGTCCGCAGAGATGAACGATGCTTTCTCGTATGGTCCAGTGGGACCGTATGTCCAACTAATCAGGCCACAGAAACGACAATATTTTACACATGGGATTTTGTTCCTTCATTGTCATGTTACTCTGGACCAAAAAGAAACTGAGCACACAGGAGACTCTCAAAAATAATTCAGTGATTGAGTAAACACCTTATATGGGACTATCCTTCCCTGGCATAAGGAAAATTGGGAAATAGCTAAGAAGGTAAGACTTGCCTAGCTCTAGGTAATCATAGCAAGGTTCCCACCCCTGACTAATACCTTTTAAGAAGGAAGGAAATATACACTTACACGGTCTATGGCTCCAGGACTCAAAGCTTTATCTGTCATCCTGGGGTTTCTTCCACAATAAACGCAAAGTGTGAGAGGTGAAAGCTAGAGGAAAAAGTGAATAATTAAAACCAGTGGCAGCTGGGTTCTCAAATGACGTATAGCTTTTATTGTCACATCCCGGTCTAGACACAAACACAGTGAGGCACATCTGAGAGAGATTAAAAAGATTCTGGATAAAAATCAAGAACATGAGAAAAAGGCATTTTACTTTTGTGGGGAGAGGGGTGTCTCAAAGAGTATGTCTGGGAGAAATCTGGGATGCTGTAAAGAATCTGGCCTTGTCTCCAAACATCTGGCCTCTACCCCCAGATTTCAAGAGACATTCTCCCTCTTACCTGATAAGAATGCTTTGCCTTGCTCTAGGCGGGGGCTGAGAAATCTGTAAACACCAACTTGGTGAAGGGCTTGGATCACACAGCCACAACGGACCTGGAGACTGAGATCAAGCATGTAGGCTGTTAGTCATTCATGCTAATGTGCTCGAACCCCTGCCAGCTGAATGTCAGATCTTGAGTGACAGTTACTAACCTCATAGTGTTTGTTTCCTTTTTGCTAAAATTGGAATAGAAAGATTATGAGATGTGGCTGTCCCAAATTTAAGATAATCTATCTAAAGCATGCAGCAATATGTAAATGATTAATATCTTATCTGTTACTAGTAATGATCAAGAATTTTAGATCTTTTATTAATTTTTTTTCTTTGCTCTGGGCCTCAAATCGAGTTTCTTGCACATGTTAGGTAAGTACCCCATCACTGAGCCACATCTCTAACCCCATTCACTGTTTGTCTTCTTGATTAATTAATTATTGTTTTTTGAGACAAGGTTTCTCTGTGTAATAGACCTGGCTGTCCTGGAACTCACTCTGTAGACCAGGCTGGGCTTAAACTCACAGAGATCCACCTGTCTCTGTCTTCCAATAGCTGGGATTAAAGGTGTGCGCTACCACCACCTAGCTATTTATTTGTTTATTTAGCGACAGGGTTTCTCTGTGTAGCCTTGGCTGTCCTGGACCTTGCTCCGCAGACTATAGGCATGTGCAAGCAAGCTCAGCTTTCCTTCTTGATGCTTAACTTTGTGTTTTTTAAACTGTTTAAATAAATGACATTAATGTCAGGTTTTCAGAGGTTGGTTTTCATCACAAAACACTTATATAACTGTATTCCATGAAGAAATGCATCCTCTCCATGAACAGCCAGGGGTCAGAGTAATTCCGAGTCAAAAATCAGCTAAGAGGCTGCATCCAGGGTTCTTTGTGATGGACCCATATCCCTAGCTCTGGATTCCATTCACTAACTAAGCTTTGGGGTCGTTTGTGAATTGACACAAATATTTAGGAGGATGCACTGCTCTAGAAACAAAACACATTTGTTCAAATGAGGGAGATTGAATTCATTCATTCATTCTTTCTTTCTTTTCTTCTTCTTCTTTTTTTTTAAAGAGACAGTTCTCCCAGGCTGGCTTTGAACTCTTGATTCTCCTGCCCCTACTTCCCAAGTGCTGGGATCATAGATCTACATCACATAGAATTTATTTTTATTTTTTGAAAGAGAATTTCACTGTGGAGGCCAGGAGCCATTGTGACGAACTTACAGCCCTGTGCTGCTGTGCTCATGGTCATTGTTCTTGATCATCCAAAGCTGTTTCTCTCTGTGAGCTTCTTAGCACCCCTCACTCTTCATATGTATGCTGCTTCTCATGGTTTATAAATACCCACGCTTACCATTATTCATGTAATAACCAGTTAGTATTTACTAACTGGTTATTTAATGCTTGGGGTTATAAGCATGTTAACGCATTCTATCCTTATAATGACTCAATTTTCAAAAGGTCTCACCCACACAAAAGTAGGAGGAACCAGTTACAGGTCAAAAATTCTCTCTCATCTCAAATACTTTTTAATTAATATTATATTATTGTCTACGTGATATACTAAAGCAGGTCATTGGCTACTGCCCCAAATGGATACAATGTGGGTGGGTCACAAGACTGCACATTTTGCACATGGTGTAGTGATGTTAGCACCTTTGACCTCATCTATTCGTTTCTATGATATCTGCATTATCTTTAAAATAAAGAAAAACCATCACCATTTTTCTTTTAAAGTATGGGTATCAGCACATCAACTGACCAATTCAGATCTATAAGGCAACATTCTCTAATCAAAAAGAGAAACTCACCTTTCTTTTAAGATGCCTCAAAGTCCTTCTTAGCGAAGACACAGTCTCTTTGGTTATCCTACAGGAGCTCTGTGGAGAACAGGTTAAAACAGAACACACACCCGAGGCTCAACTACTTTTAGACTATCCAGATACTCGAGGGCCCGCCTTTAGTATTCCTACCTGTAGTATGAGGGATCTTTGTATGCCTACAAAGGGGTCATCTATTTCTGTCATTTAGAAAGCCTGAACGTATATTGACTCCACCCTCCCACCGCTGCGCCCCCCCCCCCCCCCCCCCCACTTACAACCTCTAATGCCAGTCCGGTCTTCCTTATGGAGCAGTCAGGGGAACACGCACGGTGGGCTTGGTATACTTCGGCAATGGTGCAGACCGTGTTTCTGTTCCACTCCACATTCAAGATAGAAACGCTGCAAGTGTTCACACAGAAGACTGCAGAAACCCGGACAGCACCTCGCTGTTGCAGTCCCTCACTGCAGGGCATGCAGCCCCGTGGCCCCTGTGCAGTTTCCTGCTGCGTTGTCAAGGCAACAGCTGGCCGTATCAGCGTCCAGCAAAATGCCAGTGACGCCACACATGTGTGCGTCACTCTTGGGGGCGGGCAGTCACCTTGGGACCCTACACAGGAAACTACGCCATCCCTACTTACCTCAGCCCAGTCAGTACAGCGCACATGGGCATGGAGTTCCGACTAGGGTAAGCACAGAATACGGGAGCACATACTCCGATCCAAGTGTGAGCTTATGTGCAAATGCGTTCGCGCACATGCAAGGACACCACCGGCACACGCAGGCACACACACACACATATGTACATACACCCAGGCGGGTGGCACGCTCGCACTGCCGGACACACGCACGGTAATGTTATCATTGCTGTGATGAAACACCAAGACCTGAGGAGTATAGGGTTTCTTTATCTTACACTTCCATACTGTTGCTCATCCTAGAAGGAAGTCAGGACAGGAACACAAAAAGGGCAGGAACCTGGAGGCTTGGAAGAGCTGATTCAGAGGCCATAGAAGGGTGGTGCTTACTGGCGAGCTCAACAGGGTTTATTCAGCATTCTCTTTTGGGAGCCCAGAGATGGCACCACTCACAATGGTCTGGCTCCTCTCCCATCAATCATTATTTAAAAAAAAAAAAAAGGTCTACAATCTTGCCTGTAGTCTTAATCTAGGGATAGGAAGTTTTTGTTTTTCTTTTTTCTTTCTTTCTTGGAGACAGGGTTTCTTTGTGAAACTAACCTTGACTGTTCTGGAACTTGCACAGAGATTTGCTTGCTTTTATCTCCAGAGTACTGGGATTAAAGGCGTGTGCCACCACTGCAAGGTTAGAGAGATCAGCACCTGATCTGATCTTCTTCTTCTTCTTCTTTTTTTTTTTTTTTTGAGACAGGGTTTATCTTTGTAGCCTTGGTAGTCCTGGAACTGCCAAGAACAGATTCAAATTCACAGAGTTCCATATACCTTTAGCTTCCCAGAGTGCTGGGATTAAAGGAATTCACCACCACAGCCCGGTTTAGAGGCATTTTCTTAATCAAGGCTCTCTTCTCCCAGATGACATTAGCCTGTGTCAAGTTAACATACAACTAACTATTCAGCACAGTGAATATGACCAAAGTACATTACATATAGGTAGGACAACATCAGCAAAAACCATTATTATGTATAATTAGTATTTACTGAGAAAAAGAAACAGTTTAGAGGCCTTTTTCTTTATGTATATTTTAACACGCACAGATCTTTCTATTTTTTCTTTTCTTAAAGATGAAGTCTGGGGCTGGAGAGATGGCTCAGTGGTTAAGAGCATTGCCTGCTCTTCCAAAGGTCCTGAGTTCAATTCCCAGCAACCACATGGTGGCTCACAGCCATCTGTAATGGGGTCTGGTGCCCTCTTCTGGCCTGCAGGCATACAGACAGAACATTGTATTCATAATAAATAAATAAATAAATATTAAAAAACAGGAGGAGACAGTGGCTGGCTGTTTAAAAAAAAAAAAAAAGATGAAGTCTGACTATGTTGTGCTGACTTGGTCTGGAATTCAGTATGTAGACCATGCTGGCCTGACAGGGATCCATCTACCTCTGCCCTCCAGGTACTAGGACTAAAGGTTAAATATAATATATCGGGGCTCAGTGGTTAAGAGCACTTGCTGCTATTATAGGGGACCTGGGTTCAATTCCTAGCACCCACACAGCAGCTCACGACTCCAGCAATGACTTCTGACCTCCTCAGGCACCAGACATGGAATTGGTGCAAATACATACATTTTGACCAAACACTCACACTCATAAAAATCAAAAAGTGCCCATGGCTCTTGTAGAGCAGCCAGAGGTCCATTGCCAGCACCCATTCTGCTTACTACCCTCCTGGAAATGCAGTGGAGAGGTCGGGGTTGGGGTGGGAAGTAAAGCTGATGCTCTCTTCTGGATTTTCCAGGACACTGTACTCATGCAAACATATTATCCCGCCCCCAGGATTAAAGAAAAATAAACAAAACAAACAACAACAACAACAACCACCAAACAAACCTGTTTGTACCTCTAGTTCCAGGAGATCCAACACCCTCTTCTGTTCTCCTCCATGGGCATCAAGGACAAACAAGATGAACAGACATACAGGATGCAAACATCCATACACATAAAAAAAACCCTAAAAATAAGAAGAAAATTAAAATAGGCAAATAAGTCCCAGAAATGCAAATATTACCTTCTAGCAATAGCAGGTTGATTGTAATGAAGTTTGGACAACCGAGAGTAGAACTGTGGTCACTGGGGCCTGGGAGAGTGGGGAGGACCTGCGCAGCTTCAGTTAGCGAGAAGGAGTTCATTCGGAAGTCAATTACGGAAATTGGAGATGCTCATGAAAAGCTGAGTCTAGCCTACTTGAAAACTGCTGAGTGAAGAGTTTATTGTCCTCACAAATACGACCATGAGTAAGGGGAGGGATGGATTGTGGGTCAACTTGATTTAGTCACTCCAGAATCTATACAAATTTCGAAACATTGTTTAATACTACATAATTTTTTAAAGATATATTATTTATTGTATAGTGTTCTGCCTGCAGGCCAGAACCAGATCTGGGAACCAGATCTTATTACAGATGGTTGTGAGCCACCATGCTGCTGCTGGGAATTGAACTCAGGTCTTTGTTGAAAGAGCAGCCAGTGCTCTGAACTGCTGAGTCATCTCTCCAGAACAATACTACATACATTTTTGCCTTTTTTTTTAAAAAAAATTCTGAGAGGGCTGGAGAGATGGCTCAGTGGTTAAGAGCATTGCCTGCTCTTCCAAAGGTCCTGAGTTCAATTCCCAGCAACCACATGGTGGCTCACAACCATCTGTAAAGAAGTCTGGCGCCCTCTTCCGGCCTTCAGGCATACAGACAGAATATTGTATACATAATAAATAAATTTAAAAAAATTCTGAGACAGGGTTTCGCTCTATAATAGTCTTGGCTGTCTTGGAACTTGCTCTGTAGACCAGGCCTCGAACTCACAGAGATCCACTTGCCTCTGCCTCCCCAGTTCTGGGATTAAAGGCGTGCGCCACCACCACCCACCACCACCACCACCACGACCACGACCACCACCACCACCACAGGATTTTGTCTTCTTTTTTTGGTACAAGGTTTCTATGTAGCCTAGATTACAGTCTCTCTGCCTAGCCCTCAATGTCCTGGAACTCACTGTGTAGATCCGACTGGTCTCGAATTCAAAGATCCGTCAGAGATCTACCTGCTTCTGCCTCCTGAGTGATCTTGAACCGCCCCGCCCACCAGACAGGTTTTCTCTGTGTAGCTTTGTGCAGTACTGGAACTCACTTGCCACCACTGCTTGGCTAACTTGAACTCTTGCTCTTCCCCGCTCTCCTTCTGGGGCTCTGGAATTACCAGTGCGGCGATTGAATGACAGCGACAACTCTGACTTGGAATACCTGCATGCTTAGATGCCAGGGAGTGGCATAGTTAGGGAAGCCTTAGACAGTGTGCCCCTGTTGGAGGAGGTGTGTCTCAGCCTCAGCCTCTGCCCGCTGTCTGTGGATCAGGATATAACACAACTCTCAGCTGTTACTCCAGCACCATGCCTGCTTGCTTGTCATCACGTTCCCTGCCATGGTGATGATGCATCAACCCTCTGAAACTGTAAGGAAGCCCCTAATTAAATGTTTTCTTCTTTGTGTTACCTTGGTCATGGTGTCTCTCCTCAGCAATAGAACACATTTGCCAACTTTTCCTTCTCAATTCTGGACACTGATACTAGAACTTTCTGAGTTTGAGATAAATATCTGACCTATATTCCTAGCTCAGTTAATTTCTTTTAAAGCAGAATTTAAAAAATTTATTTATTTATTTATTAGGTATAAAATGTTCTGCCTGCATGTATGCCTGCCTGCTCAGAAGAGGGCACCAGATCTCATAGATGGTTGTGAGCCACGATATGGTTGCTGGGAATTGAACTCAGGACCTCTGAAAGAGCAGCCAGTGCTCTTAACCTCTGAGCCATCTCTCCAGCCCCCAGTTAATTTTTTTAAGTACTAATGACAATACATTTTATTTTTATTTTTTGTGCATTGGTATTTTTTTCTTCATGTGTGCCTATATGAAGGTGTTGAAATTCCTGGAGCTGCAGTTACAGGCAGTGATGAGCTGCCGTGCCGGTGCTGGGAATTAAACACAGGCTGTCTGGAGGGCAACCAGTACTGTTAACTACTGAGCCATCTCTCCAGCCTCCAGTACTAATGCTATTTTAAAAAAGTAATTACAGGGCTGAAGAGATGGCTCGGTGGTTAAGAGCACTGCCTGCTCTTCCAAAGGTCCTGAGTTCAATTCCCAGCAACCACATGGTGGCTCACAACCATCTGTAATAAGATCTGGTGCCCTCTTCTGGCCTGCAGGAATGTATAAAGGCAGAACACTGTATACTTAATAAATAAATAAATCTTTTTTTAAAAAAAGATTTAAAAAAAGTTACATTAAAAAAAAGTAATTACAGGCTGGAGAGATGGCTCAGTGTTTAAGAGTATTTCTGTCTCTTTTGGAGGATCCAGATCGGATTCCAGGCACCCATGTCAGATGGCTCACAACTACCTGTGTGTTTGCCTCTTGGGGATCAATCTCTCTTCTGGTCTCTGTGAAACCATGCAGACATGTGGCTTAAACACACAGACAGACATATACACATAAGAAACCAACAACTTTTAAGTTACAAAAAAAAATCACAAATTCACCTTCATGTAGGAACTAGTGCTAAAATTAATGTTGAGGAGGCCTTTTCCTGTGCCACTGGATTCTTAGACAAGCAGAGCCTGAGGGAGGACTTGGACAGTTCTCCACATGAGTCTGGACATAGCACTGGGGGAAGGCTGGTCAGTGGAGAGCATGCTGTGTGACCCCAACACATCTTTGGGGGAGCAATTACAGGGCTAACTGCAATTAAGGGAGAAAGGAAACAGGTTTTCCTCATAGAAATGAGATCTCTAATAACAAATGGTAACTTACCTTAACATTTGGAGACTTCTATTTTGAGCTGCTTCTTTTTCAGCTGGCTGGGGGAAAGAAGAGGATATAGATGAGACATTAGGGCCTTTGTGGAGCTTAAAAGTAGGTTTCAGGGTGTGGAGAGATGGATAGGTAAGAACACATGTTCCTCTTGCAGAGGAGTGAGGTTTGATCCCCAGCACCCACATGGCAGCTTACAACTGTCTAACTCTAGTCCCTGGGTTCAGTGCATTTTTCTGACCTCTGAGGGCATCAGGCATGCCTGGACCACAGGTGACCTTACTTCAATAGAGTTCTCTAGAGTAATAGAACTGATAGAATATATATATATATATATAATTCTATATATTAAATATAGAATATATATTTATACATATAAAATCACACATGCACACACATTAGTATTTATTAGCATAGATTCCAGGCTGTGGTTCAGCTAGTCCAACAATGGCTGTCTATTAGTGGAAAGTTCAAGAATATAGTAGTTGTTCAGACCACAAGGCTGGATGCCTCAGCTGGTCTTCAGTATATTTTGGAATCCCCAAGAAATAGTCTCTAGGACCAGTGAAAGAATGAACTTGACAGGGAGAGCAAGGAAAGCAGACAAAGAGCCGAAACTTTCTTCTTCCATGTCCTTTATGTAGGTTGCCGGCAAAAGGTGTGGTCTGGATTTAAGATTCATCTTCCCACTCAAAAGATTTAGATGTAGGATTGATCTTCCCACCTCTAAGGATCCAACCAAGAAAAAGTCCCTCTTTCTTTTTGTAGTAGGGATGAAGTAATCGTGCACACTACACACATGCGATACCACTCACTGAGCAACACCCCGTGGCATTAAATGACAGGATTATTATTTCCATGTCCTGCCGGGCACCATTGCTCTGAGGTTGGTGGTCACAGAGTTGAATGGTGAAGGAAGCTTTGTTCAAGAACATATAGTACAGCACCCACAGCCATTCAAAAGACAATGTACCTAGTATCTCCAAAGAGATCTCCCACTAGTCCATAGGCTCAGAGTTGCTGCCAGCCATGATGCCACCTTGAGTGTTACAGCTAAATGTGTGGGCACTGGGGCCCTTCAGACGAGTGTGCATTGAAGTAGAACAGGGTAGAAAACAACAGTTGTCAGACACTGACTTATTTAGCGATTTACTTAACGCACTGCTTGGACCACCTATTTGCCAAGCATGACTTCACCTGCTACCAGGAACAGAATGACCTGGAGAGATACCTGAAACAAGGGCTATTGCCCTTAACCACCTGGGGACTGCCTCATATGCTTCTATAAAATCTCTCTTGCTTGGCCGCCCCACCCTTGTGGTTTTGAGTATAAAAGGAGAATGCAGACTGGATCTGGGATTGGAGCCTTTCAGGAGACATCCTGGCTTTGGTCTGTGGTCGGGAGAATTGTCTGTATTCTGTCAATCATATTTTAAATAAGCACTGATTGGCCAGGCAGGAAGCATAGGTGGGAAAACCAGACAGGAAGTAGAGGCAGGGCAGGGAGAACAGGAGGATTCTGGGAAGAAGGAATTTCTTCCCCCATTCCTGCCCGGACCACCGAGAAGCAAGATATAATCTGCCCGGCTGAGAAAGGTACCAAGCCACGTGGCTAACATAGATAAGAATTATGAGTTAATATAAGCTACAAGCGCTAATAAGTAGCTTGAGCTAATGGGCCAATCAGTTTTTATGACTTATGGAGATCTCTGCATGATTTTCTTTGGGGCTTGCCGGCTGTGGGGTGCCAGGCGGGACAGAAACCCCAACAAGCCGACCCCCTCATGTTACAGGTCTGCCAGTGACATCTCCTCTCTTCCACTCTCATTGGTGTGGCAGTGCTAATTCCATAGATATCCATGGCACTTCTGAAGGTCTCCAGTTGGTCAAGAGAGGCTGCCACTTCCCAGCCTCTCTGCCCATTGAAGACCTCTGAAACTGGGACATGTGAGCCCCTGACAGGACTCCTGACCAGTGGACAAGGGGACTGTGAGATTCAGGACTGGAGTGGAAGATGGAACTAGGCTGGATGTCCTGGTAAGGATCCTTAGAGAGGTAGGTGACAGGAGCCAACACAGGTTTGGTTACCCTGTGGAAAACTGTATGTAAAGCCTCGATGAGATACCAAAGTGGCATTAGTCTCCAAGGGAACGGTAGATTGGTTCCCAGAAAAATGGACTAGGGCTTTAAAATGGGAATGTAAAACTACTGAACGAATATGTGAATGCTTGTAATGGTCCTACGGCCCTGTGGCTACGGGATCAGATTAAATGCCAACCTGCAGTTCCACTAAGGTCATTTCACCTGAATAGAGGTGAATAAACAAGAAGACATCCATGTGACCCTAGGTACGACCTCTTAGGTTGCTGCGAGGGGGTTGGCCAGAGGGATCCCCGTTTGAGAGAGAAGCTCGTCCTCACCACCCCACCCTACTTACCACAAACCCCTGGTTGGGGAAACTCTTATCATCACGGGGTCTCTACAGTCCCAGTGCGAGACCTGCACAGTCCAACAAACCATGCTAAACAATTTTAAAAGAGGATTTACTGCTGACTATGGGAAAAAGATAAAATTCTTCAAATAAAAGACTCTGTGAAATTGATTGGCCTTCTGTTGATGTTGGCTCTGGCCCCCTGAAGGTACTCTGGATTTGAACCTGATTAATAGAGTTGGAGGGATCTGTATGGGACTACCTGGTCACTCAGACCATGTCCCATGGTGTTTCTTTCCCTGAGACCCTCTGCTATGGCTTCACTACCAGCCCAGACCACATTGGCTGCAAAGATTTTTAAGCTTGAAGACATCAAAGCAACACCCCTATCAGCTTCCTCAGAGGGTGAAATTTTGCCTGTGATGCCACCTCCTTACCAGCTCCAACTGCCAGCACCACACGGCTCCAAGGCAGTAGAAAGACCACTTTCTCCTGCCTTTCCAGTGGCATCTATCTGGACACAATGCTCACCCACCTAAGCAGGCCAGCCAGCTCTGCCAGACTCAACAACTACATGGGGTTGCTCACAAGACTTTGGCCAGCTGGGTGGCTGGGAAGATCCCCTTTTTGATGTGCCATTGAGGGAAATGCCAGGCACTCCCCTCGTCCAAGATTACAGTTATGGCACCAGGCCCTAAAACCAGCCAGACACTTCCCTGAAGAGGGAGAGTCCTTCCATGATTTCAGAGAAATTATAAAGGAGACTTTTTCTATACAGTCAGACTTAAAGGATGAGCTGCTCCCCGATTCAGATATAGAACTTTTATGGATGGGAGCTGAAGCTTACAACAGTAGGAGTAGCCCCTTATATCAGGAGACTTCATGGGAGACAGAAGTTAAAAACCAAGACCAAATCCTATAGGTCCTAGAAGCTATCTGGGCCCCCAGCTGTGGCTGTGGTGCACCGCCAGGATCTTACAGAGAGTCAAGGTAGAGTGAGTGGAAAACCGATTAGCAGATTAGACAGCCAAACATGCTGCCCTCAGTGCAGACATAGTCCTGCAGTCCCCTCCCTTCCTACCCCTCCAAGGTATGTTTACACTCTGCATGCTCCCAGAGCTCTCCTCATAGAAACCAGAGGAAAAAGAACAACTGATGAAGAGGTTTATTGAAAAGCAGGAGTTGATGAACACAGAAAGGAAAATAGTCATTTCTGAGATGACCGGTCCCAGACTAGTTTGGCAAGCTTATGGTCCCAGACTAATTTGCCAAGCTTAATGGAACAACGCATCTGGAAAAACTGCCTGGGAGGAACTGTTGCAAAGAAATTTGGTGGTTGCCAACACTGACCCAGCAAGCTAGCAAAGTATGTCTGCAGTGTGCCCAGAACAAACCAAGCAGGGACCCAAGGCCCACATGTTGACAAACTCAGGAGTCCTTCCTCCCCATTTAAACACCTAAAAGTGGACTTTACTGACACTCCACCCAGGAGAGGGGACTGATAATTTGCTAGTTGTGGTGTGCACTTTTTTTCCCCCAGGCTGAGTAGAAGCCTTTCCTACCCTCACACAGAATTAACTTGAAATGCGTTCAAATTTCAATAGGACTTTTAAGATGACATTGGCCGAACTGCCAAGAAACAGCCATCTACTCGACAAAAATTCTGCCACGTGCACTTCCAGTTTAGATTTTGTTATACATGTATATATGTCGTTACTCTCCTTTGAGATCATGTCTGACTACCCTTCTCCATTGCTCCCAAAGGACTCAGGGTCACCTCCGAGAGTATGGCACACAAGCCTGTAGCACTTCTTGAAAAACTTGGCTAATAGAACACAAAAAGTGCTTAAAGTTGCAGGTATCAAGCTGTGGGTGTGGACCTCAGCCAGGAGCGGGCCGTGAGAGCCGAACTAGACCAGCGTCTGAAATTGATCATCTCACCACCTCAGACTGGAGACAATGCTTTGCTCCTACTCTGCCTTCTGATACACTCTGCTTCAGCGGACGTGCATTCACGCAGTCCCCACTCAGTCTCGCTAATCCTGTCACGTAAATTAGCCTGGCGGGCATGAGTAAGATGATAATGCAAACTGAGCCCGAGACGAGGTCCTTTTAGGCACTTGTCTGGGTGAACCATGTCTACCAGGCTTTGATCCACGGGTAACATTTCATCTCTTTCACTCTAGGTGGGGGTACTTATTCCATAAAGAGTCCAGCGACTCAACTGCAGGAGTGGAGTTGTGGAGGCTGGGCTACATGCGTTGTATTTCTGAATACACCAGTGTAGAAATTTATGGTGATAAAGATTCTTCCTACCCCCCCCTCCCCCCCACCCCCAACGTGCATGAGGAAATTAGAGAGCCGGAGCCGGAGATGTACCTCTGCGTCAAGAATCTAGTTTTGTGAATTCCTCTGGGAAGATGTTACATTGGGAGAACGTTGGCAAGAGCTTCAATAGTGTGTTCTGTCTGATTTCAGAGATGGGAACTTGCTGGGTAGTGGTGGTGCATGCCTTTATCCCAGCACTCGGGAGGCGGAGGCAGGCACATCTTTGTGAATTCGAGGCCAGCCTGGTCTACAAAAGCTAGTTCGATGACAGGCTCCAAAGCTACAGAAGAACCCTGTCTTGAAAAACAAAAACAAAACAAAACAGATGGAAACTTTATAAATCACTGTCTTCTTATTTATATGTCTCAAGACTACTGTTTGATTTGTAGCCTGCATATGTGATCAAGGCCATGTGATTTCTAGCTTTGATTTATAAGGTGTCAGGCCAGGGATTACCATCTGGTTCTGGGAAAGAAGTAAGTCTCTTGTGCTATAAGGTTAAATATGATGTTCTCCAGGTAAGACAGAATTCATGGGTATGGTACAGCTATTTTCACCACAAGCTCTCACCTTACTGTGACCTCTAATTGACCTGGGTTCCTTTAAAGGAAAAAGATATTTTGCACTTAATAGTTTTTTTCCCTGTCCTGGAAGTTACTCTGTAGACCAGGCTGGCCTTGAACTCACAGAGATCTACCTTCCTCTGCCTTCTGAATGCTGGGATTAAAGACATGCTCCACCACTGTCCAGCTACTTAACAGTTTTAAAAATCATTTATTTTATGTGTATGTGTGAACGTGCACGTGGGTATGTGGTGGTCGGTCACTGGAGAATTTGCAAGAATTGTTTCTTTGCTACCACCATGTGGGTCCAGCTGATAGAATTTGGGTTATCAGGCATAGCAGCAAATGACTTTACTAGCCGAATCATCTAGTGACCCATGATTCTTTCATATACTACAATTTAGAGCAGTGGTTCTCAACCTTCCTAGTGCTGTGACCCTTTAATACAGTTCCTCATGTTGTGGTGACCGCCAACCATAAAATTATTTTTGTTGCTACTTTATAATTGTAATTTTGCTTCTTTTATGAATTGCAATGTAAATATTTTTAGAAATAGAGGCTTAACAAAGAGGTCACAATCCATAGGTTGAGAACCACTGGTTTATAGTCTTTTTTTAAATTTATTTCTATAATTAATTAGAAGGAATTAAGACTCCAGAAACACAAGCATGAATGTAAATATATAGGAAATGAAGGAATGATTGCGGATGGTAATATAACCGGTAATTTTGACTAGCCAGCCTCAGCATCCAGCCTAGCCCCCCATTTTTTTCACTTTTTGATATAGGATCTCTTTTAAGTTGTACAGGCCGTCCTTGAATTTGTGATTTTCTTGCTCCAGTTTCCCCCACAACCTGGACTACAGAACTAGGGTTGTACTAGCTGACCTTGCCTGATATTCTTTATAAGTTGCTTAGAGTCCTCAGTTTTTTTTTTTTCTGTTGGTCACAGATTTGTATTTTTCTCACTAAGGAATTTAAACCTCAAAGGCATTTTTAATTATAAAAAAACCAGATTAGTAAGGAAGGGACAGATTATATGACAGCTAGGACCCTAAAACCATGAAGGAGAGTCTGAATGTATGGGACTGAGGTAGACAGGATGAGTGACTAAAAAATGTCTGTATTTGGGGTCTGGCTGCATGGTTCAGTGGGTAATGGTACTTACTGCCAAGCCTGGCTACCTGACTTCCATCCTTGAGACCCGTACGGTGGAACAGTGAATTGAGTCCTACAAGTTGCCCTCTGTCCTCCACATGTGCATCATGCCTGTGCCAACACACACACACACACACACACACACACACACACACACACACACACTGAACTAAATACATATAACAAAAACTTTTAATAATAATGTTCATATCTTCCTGTCTGGGGGCTGGAGAGATGGCTCATTGGTTAAGAGTGTTGACTGCTCTTCTAGAGGACCCTGGTTCAATGCCCAGCACCCACATGGCAACACATGGGTTGTCTGTGACTCCAGTTCCAGGGTATCTGATGCCCTCACACAGACGTTTTACAGGCAAAACACCAACGAACATAAAAATAAAAAAAAAAAATGAACACATTCTTTCTTTCTTTTTTTGTTTCTTGAGACAGGGTTTCTCTGTAGCTTTGGAGCCTGTCCTGAAACGACCTCTTGTAGACCTGGTTGGCCTTGAACTCACTGAACTTCTAGAAGTTGGCAAGGTAGGGGGTAAGACACCTTGCAGAGTTTCTAAGAGGGCAGCCTTAACATTTTAGCTTATCCCAGTGAGACCCACTTCAAACTTCTGAGCTCTGGTCTAGCCAGTAATAGCTGTGCTTATTCAGTTTGACAATAAAAGAAAAAGGTCATAATTACGGATCAGGTTTGCGGTGGGGACAGGTCTGTGCATGCGCAGTGAATGTAAACCCACGCACTGTGCCTGTACGACGCATGCGCACTGCATGTACGACACATGCGCAGAGCCTATACAACGCACGTGCTCAGCACCGAACCCAGATAAATTCATCTCTAAAGTTGGCGACTACACCATAAACCTCTGTAGGTAGGTGTTCACCCAGAAAATGTGCTGCGCTGTAACCAGGTATTATAGCATGTGAAAATATTCTTTTCAGTTTGCTCTCTACCTTCTAGGAAAAGCTAGCGTGTATCCTTGGAAACCCGCGTGTAATTCCCAGCATGCAATTCACGAAAACAAGTTCAAGAGTGTTTGCAACCTAACAAAGAGGTGCTTGGGTCTAATAATGGCGATGGGGGGGGTGGGGTAAGGTGGGAGAAGTTGGGGTGGTGAGGATAGGGGAGGTAGAGGGAATGGGGGTGGGGGAAGTAGGGATGGTGAGGGATGGGGGAGGTAGGGGGTGGTAGGTGTGGTGGTGTACGGAATTCCTTTTATTTATTTTATTTTGATAATTAGGGCTTTGATATCAACTTTTTGTGGGTGTTTTGCTGGCATCTATGTATGTGTACCTGAACATGTTTGGGACTGAAGTTATGGGCAGATTTGAGCGTTCATGGTAATGGGACTCAAGCCTGTGTTCTAGTCATAAGCAGCAAGACTTTTAACAGATCTTTCTAATTCCCAGCCTCAACAGAGATTTTTTTTCCCCCCAGACAGGGTTTGTCTGTGTAGCCCTGGCTGTCCTGGAACTCACTCTGTAGACCAGGATAGCCTTAGACTCACAAAATTCATCTGTCTCCTTCCCCAGTGGTGGGATTAAAGGTACACACCACTAAGCTCAGCCTTATTTCAATCTTCCTGCCTCAGTCTCCTGGTTGCCAGAATTATAGGAGGGCATCTTCAGCCTCACATTGGAGTGTCTGACTAGGTTTTAAGGCTCTCCATGATTCTCTACTCAGCAGAACACTAGGCTTTCTCCCTAAACCATGGACCATGGTTTATTTATTCCCCCTTCTGTGTCTCTGTCCCTCCGTCCTTCCCTTCCTCCCTCCTTTCTTTTGAGACAGAGTTTCTCTGTGTAACAGTCCTGGCTGTCCTGGAACTGTTTTCGTAGACCACAAAGGCCTTGGATTCTCAGAGAGCCACCTGCCTTGCCTCCCAAGTGCTGGGGTTAAAGGCATGGATCACCAAGCCAGCCAAGTGGATTGCTTCTATTTCAAGGTATTTTTGCTTCAATTTAATATAAATGTACAGGTAATAATATACATAGTATAATTTTCTCTTGTGACCTTTTTTTTTTGTTGTTTTTTTTTTTTCCAAGACAGGATTGTTTTTAAGTCTTTTAACAATGGGAAAGTTAAGCCGGGTGGTGGTGGTGCATGCCTTTAATGTTAGCACTCTGGAGGCAGAGGCAGGTGGATTTTGTTTGTTCGAGGCCAGCCTGGTCTACAGAGTGAGTTTGAGGACAGCTAAGGCAACACTGAGAAATGTTGTCTTGATAAACAAAAACAAAGGGATAGTTAAACTGCACTGTACAAATTAGTATGCTAGCTGTCACTGTTGAGAACAGTAACATGATACATTCTGTAATTCTTTTTTTTTTTTTTCGAGACAGGGTTTCTCTGTAGCTTTTTTTGAGGTAAGGGTCTCCTGTATTCCAGGCTGTCCTTCAAATTGCTGTCAAGTAGTCAGGGAGGACTTTGAGATAGTGTTGTGATAAATATGGCAGCGTAGGTAATCCCTCCCTCATCCCTATCGTCCCAGTGAATTCATGAGAAATAGCAGAAAAATTCCTGCAGAGGAGCAGCCAACAAAATACTTCACCTCAGAAAGTGTGGAGACGATTGAAAACGAAATCAGCATCATAGTCAGGAGGGATGTAAGAGCTATGGCAGCACAGTGTTCCATGGTGTCCTGGAACGGAGAGGCAATGATAGATAAACTCTATGGAAAATGACGTTAAGTGGTGAGCTTTGTGTGTGCATTATGTGCACAAGTGTGGTACATGAAAGTGCTTTTTACTCTCAGAACTCTAACTTCAGCTCATGAATTTTAAGACAGGATCATTATCACTCAGTTCCTGTTATATTCCCTAGCCAGTGCTAAATTGCCCTTGCAGAGTAAATAACCCCCTTCCCATGCTAGCAATCATAATTGTAGGTAGCGAGTGCCTCCCCCACAAAGTGCCACAAAACCAAACAAAAGAAGATATGAAAATAGCTGAGGGGACTTGTTGGAAAGGAGGGGATAAGAAGAAAATGGGGAGAATATTATCAATATTTGTTAAATTGTAAAGGAACAAATATATTATTGAAAAGATTGGCTTGTCCAACCACACTGAACCCCTTAGAAGAGAAAGTGGAAAGTACACTTATACACATTGGCACAGTAGATCACTTCCTAAATATAACCCCAGTAGCATAGACACTGAGAGAAACAATTATTAAATGGGACCTTCTGAAACTGAGAAGCGTCTGTAAAGCAAAGGACACAGTCAACAAGAAAAAACGACAGCCTACAGAATGGGAAAAGATCTTCACAAGCCTGACATTAGACAGAGAAAGGACTGATCTCCAAAATATACAAAGAACTCAAGAAACTGGTCATCAAAAGAACAAATTATCGAATAAAGAATGGGGTACAGTCCTATCCAGAGAACCCTCGACAGAGGAATCTAAAATGGCTGAAAGACATTTAAGGAAATGTTCAATATCCTTAGTCATCAGAGAAATGCAAATCAAAACAACTCTGAGAGTCCATCTTCCACCTGTAAGAATGACTAAAATCAAAAACACTGAAAACAATTTATGCTGGAGAGGTTGTGGGGTAAAGGGAACTCTGCGCTATTGCTTGTGGGAGTGCAAACTGATACAGCCCTTTTGGATATCAGTATGGTGATTGCTCAGAAAATTGGGAAACCACCTACCTCAAGACCCAGCAATACCACATTTGGGTGTATACCCAAAGGATGCTCAATCGTGCCACAAGGACATGTGCTCTACTATGTTCATAGCAGCATTGTTTGTCATAGCCAGAACCTGTAAACAACCTAAATGTCCCTCAGCTGAAGAATGGGTAAGGATTATGCAATGGAGTTTTACGCAGCCGAAAAAAAAATGACATCTTGAAATTTGCAGGCAAATGGACGTATCTAGAAAACATGTTGAATGAGGTAACCCAGACTCAGAAAGACAAATATTACATGTACTCACTCATGAGTGGCTTTTAGACATAAAGCAAAGAAAAACCAGCCCACAATTACAATCCCAGAGAACCTAGACAACAATGAGGACCCTAAGAGAGACACAAATGGATCTAATCTACATGGGAAATAGAAAATGACAAGATCTCTTGAGTAAATTGGGGGAGCATGGGGCAATGGGAGAGGGTTAAAGGGGAGAGTAGAAGAAGGGAGGGTAGTGGAGAAAAATATATATCTCAAGGAGAAAAAAAGGTTGGATTATAATAAGTGCCTTCTGCTTGTCTTATTAACAGAAAATCGGGGAAATGGGAAGGCAGCATGTTTAAGAGCTTTCTGGGCTATCATTGCAATGTTTCTACCCATATAAGACTCTTAGTAAGGAAAAAAAGTTGTTTAAAAAGAGGAGTAAAAGATAACAGAACTAACTCTCACCTGCATTCACTTAAGAAGCCAACTCAACCTGCTGACACCTGTTGACATGGTACAGAGTAATTCCTAGTTAAGGAGACACACCAGAGTACACGTGCTTGCTCTTTATGGTTGCTCACTATAAAGATGTTCCCACAGCCTCACCTCAATCTTTCCGCAGAGAGAGCTCTCATCAGGCAACAAGACACAGCCACAGGCCAGAGTGTACCAGATATTCACAGAGCAGACGTCCATCCTGGGATGCGGTAGGGTCTCATCATTCAGTTTGTGATTCAGCCCTCCAGGCTGCTCCAGTCCAGTCCATTTTCTCGTTCCTTCCATTTCTTCTCTGTCTGTCTCTCTCTCTGTATATCTCCTTACTTCCTTTTCTTCTTCTTTTTTTGAGTTAGAGACTCAAGTATTCTATCTCTCCAGGATTACATCTTGCTTGGTTTTTGTCTTTCAAGATCTTCTCCTTTACCTAGAGTCTCTGCAGAAGACCATTCCAGATTTAATCTGGGGAAAATACAATTTTCTATCCAGAGACCACTTTTCTCTTCTATTCTTTGCACCAGCCCCAGAAGCATGCCTTAAGCTGAACCCTGATGGCGACCGGACAGAACCTCTTTAAAAATTGCGCCTCCCAGAATGCAACTTTGCATGGTGTGCACTACGCACAGACCTCTGGGACATATAGTCCGTAGTGCTTGGGTTGGTGAGGCTGTAAATGAGCCTATTATTCTTTTGAGCATTTTTCTTTATTCTTTGAGAATTTTATAGTTGTATACAATGCACTCTGACCACATATATTTTCAACTCTTTATTACAGCCACACCAATTCTCTCCCAGCACGCAAATCGGCCTGACACTGCCCGGATGCCTCTGGGAAATGTTGTTCACATTGTGGGCATGCGCAGTTGGAAGATCGTTAATAAAATACTTTGTTATGGCGTTTAACTGTTTTGTTTATTCAGTGATATTGTATCATATTAGTTATATTATATTTGAAGGGATCTCTGGCCAGTTTGAGTGTGGCGACCACAGCTCTGGTGGGCCTTGCCCTTCTGCACTCCTTCTTTGCCGCGCCAGCACGGCAACTGTCGCTCTTCTGAGTGAGGGACGTCGGGATTAACACGCAACACAACTTCAGGTTCTGCAGACAAGCCTTTTATTCCACTTTCTCACAAGTATATATAGCCCTCAGCAGGGGAGGCCAAACCAGCAATAGCAGGAAGCTCATCGCTGTAACTCAATGGCTTAGGGGTAAACATCCTTAGAAACATTGCTGAACCTAGAGGGGCTCCCAGGTGCCCAGGGCGATGTCCCCAGTTAGCTCCTGGGGCAGCTGAGGATAGGGAACCTGAAATAACCCTATCCTATAGCCATACTGATGAATATCTTGCATATCACCATAGAACCTTCATCTGGCGATGGATGGAGCTAGAGACAGAGACCCACACTGGAGCACCGGACTGAGCTCCCAATGCCCCAATGAGGAGCAGAAGGAGGGAGAACATGAGCAAAGAAGTCAGGACCACAAGGGGTGCACCCACCCATGGAGATAGTGGGGCTGATCTATTGGGAGCTCACCAAGGCCAGCTGGACTGTGACTGAAAAAGCATGGGATAAAACCGGACTCTCTAGGTCTGAAAAAGCATGGGATAAATCCGGACTAGCTGAACATAGCAGACAATGAGGAATACTGAGAATTCAAGAACAATCGCAGTGGGTTTTTGATCCTACTGCACGTACTGGCTTTGTGGGAGCCTAGGCAGTTTGGATGCTCACCTTACGAGACCTGGATAGAGGTGGGCAGTCCTTGGGCTTCCCACAGGTCAGGGAACCCTGATTGCTCTTAGAGCAGATGAGGGAGGGGGACTTGATCAGGGGAGGGGGAGGGAAATGGGAAGCGGTGCCGGGGAGGAGGCAGAAATCCTTAATAAATAAATAAATTAAAAAACAAAACAAAACAACAACAACAAAAAAAAACCGGACTCTCTGAATATGGCGGACAATGAGGGCTGCTGAGAAGCCAAGGACAATGGCACTGGGTTTTGATCCTACTTCATGTTCTGGCTGTGTGGGAGCCTAGCCAGTTTGGATGTTCACCTTCCTAGACCAGGATGGAGCGGGGAGGACTTTGGACTTTCCACAATGCAGGGAACCCTGACTGCTCTTCAGACTGGAGAGGGAGGAGGAGAGGAGTGGGGGGAGGGGCAGAGAAGTGGGAGGAGGAGGAGGGAAATGGGAGGCTGGAAGGAGGCGGAAATTTTTTTTTCAATAAAAAAAATAAAAAATTAAAAAAAGGAAACTGCTGAAAACAACAGATTGTTCCTGTTTTTGTTCCTGTTTTCAGCTAACCTCAAAAGTGCAAAACAGATCAAGTGGGGGTGCAAAGGCCTGTCCTCTAGGGTCCCAACACTTCTTCCTTGCTAAAAACCATTAGATTACACTCGGAAAGCTAGCCTATCAAGAGTTAGTCCCTTATTTGGCCACTTCCTCTCCACGAGGCTGACTACCAAAGTCCAGTTATCAAAGTATCAAAGTCAAGCAATCAGAAGCCCCCTTTGGGTCACCTAATTAACATGCTGAATTAAAACTAAACACCTCATCCTAACACTGGGTTTCTCTTTGTCACTTGTTGTGGGAGCCCATGTGTGCCTCACTTTCCATCTGGAGTTCATTCTGATTTATAAGTCATTTGAGTTCAAGCTTGTCTACTCTGTTTTTTTTTCCAGTAAACTTGAGAGCTGTGAGAGACTTGTGATTTTGCCCGTGAGAAAAGAACACTGTCCAGAAGAAAGTATACCGCTGACGACAAACCTCAGGGACGGAAAGATAGAAAGGAAAGCTGCTTCCTAGCAACAAGCGCCTGTTAGTTAGGAGGCTGCTCACTCATTCCTGAATGGTCTTGTGGTTAGATACTGACTGAACTGACTGTGCTGTGCTTTGTTCTGCTTTTGCATATAAGCAAGTTCTGAAATAAACTCTGGGCTGTTTGGCTGTTTCGGCTTGACTAAACAGACCTCCTGATTGTATCCTGTATTTTCTATCTCTTTTCCTTTCCTCTGACATTTCCTCAGCCTTGATGACTCCCAATTCAGGAACCTTAGCTGACTTTGTAGGAGGGGGCTCCTACAGAAGGCACCCAACCATGTGGCCTCTGAGAAGGGGAACTTTCCCTAGGCTATCATACATTAAAGAGCGCTTGGAAAAGTGGAGGTGTGGAAAGTCAATTTCGGGAGTATTAAGAGCAGTTGCAGTGTATAAAAAAGAAAAAAAGTAGTTGCTCAGTGTAAATAAAAA